TGATAGTAGAAGTATATGGAGGTCAGGATCATTATGGAGCATGGCAGTTATGATTTTTGATTTCATAATTTGATATAAGTTAATGAGCAGTTGCCATATTGATGGAAGGACATCAGTTCCAGGAGGCGGACCTCTTGTCTCTTGTCAGATGGCATCTGTGTGTGCTGGGGATAAAAGTCTCCTGTCATACTGGGAGACCTTTGAAAACACGACTGACTGTCTGCTGCTGTCAATGCATCTGTATCACTAGTGCACAGAAACTTACCACCTTGAAGTCAAACTGTCCTTTTCAGAGCCGGCAGAAGTAGTGAATACTTTGGGCTTCTCTGTTTCCTCAGTGTAGCAGAGTGAGGAGTCCCAGTGGGAGTAAAAGGCAAAGGGGCCAGGTCCCAAAGACAGAGGAGGCTTTATTCTGCCCTTTTTCTTTCTGAGCACAGGCTTCACCCCTGTACCCACTGTAGCACTGGCACTGGAAGTGTGTGTGGAAACGAGCCAGCTCAGCTTGGCCAGGCACGCCTGTAACCTTCAGCCGTCCGCCCTGGCCGGTGATGCTGTGTGTTGAGGGGCTGAGATGCAGGTAAACGTCATTGTCTGGTATTTTGCGCAGACAGCGGCCGTGGGATTTACACAGCTCCTTACTGCACTGTTCTGCTGCTGTAGACACATTGAGCAGGTACTGGCCCAGCGGTCCCTGAAGATACTCATTTATGGCGGAGCAGCTGGCCTGCAAGCAACAAAAGAAAAGGTATATTAACCCCAAACCACTGAATACTAGGCTATTCAGCATCAAATGAGCAGAGTGCAATGCTTACCCTGCTGCCTGTATAGGAGGTGTCCCCCCAGAAGATTACACCTGCAACTCCAAGTGCAACGCTCTCACCAATGGTAGAGACCAAATCCATCTGCAAAACATTTACACCAACAGTTTAGTCATGTTCCAAACAATGAGGGATTTTTAGTGCATTTGATTTCCACAAATGAATCAATACAAATTTATATTGTAACTAAGCTAATATATATTTAACAAACTATAATGTTAACCTGTATTTAATCTAAACTTCTCATGACAGCACACTTAGTCCAAGCTGAAACAATACTTAATGTTGTCGATTTTCCACATGCTACCCATAAAACTACACACTACACAGGCATTTTCTATTCATCAGCAACATGTGTTATCCTTGCAGCTCCATCCTCCCATCCAGTGGTTAAACATAATAACTGAACTCCTCCTAGATAACATAACAAATGTAGAAGTCTCCTGTACTTGATGAATTGTTGCTCTGGCCAACTAACCTCTGTTAGGGTGGTCATCTCATTGATGTAAGTAGGGCGGGTATAAACAAAAACAGGGCGTGCTAATCCATCCCCAACAGGTGCCAAGCGCATCGCCTCCTTCACCCTGTTTCGGACAAAGAGGCGCCCATAATTTGTGGAGCTCAGTACAGAGCCCATGTATATCGACGGGAAGAACGCCGTGCATTCCATCCACAGCCAGTTAAGTTGGTTATTGCGGTCCATCTCCACAGCAGGACAGCGGCCGTTGTAGTTCTTCAGGCCACTCCTGTAGTCATGGTTGTAACAATCTGGAAACAGGTAGAAGCCCCACAGCTGATTGGGCCTCAGATTCTTGGCAAGTTTCAAAGTCTCCAGCATGAATTTGCGAGCCGACAGCTCAAATTCCTGCTGTGCAACTTTCTTCACTTGTTCCGGGGTCCACGTAGGGTTCTTTCTGGCCACCATTTCACGGGATTTATTTCGATAGATATCTTTAATATCCCAATTTCGGATCCACAATGGGCGCCACTCCTCCCAGTCAAGAACAGCTAAACCTTTGGCCAGAGGTTCACGTAAATATTTTTGCAAACCTTCAGGCATCTTTTCATAGTGCTGACTGAGGCTGGCAAGCTGTGGAAGGCCTCCGTTCACTGCAGTGCCACCATGCTCATAATAGGGATACAACCCAAGGCGTTCTTTATAGAAAATGGTAAGGTTCTGCCGGACAAAGCCCTCATTGGGGGACGCCACAATGTCAAACTGGTCCAAAGATAAAGTTACACGATGTCGGGGAAAACAATCTTCTGTTGGGGCATTCCAGGCAAGAAGAACTGGCTTCTGGGAATATAATGGCCATCTTGTCTGCTTTATGTCTGCTGAACACACAACTGTCCATGATGTAAACAGAGTCAGAAGCAACCAGGGCAGCTGGCCAGCTGTGGTGAAGAGAGAGTGAAATACAGCCTCCATGGTCACTGCTCACCTACTCTCCTCTTCCTCTTGAAAAGAAATAAAAAGCACTTTTGTTAGATTCAGCCAAAAATAAAAATAAAACCCCAAATAGTTCTAAATATCTCCACAGATGACCCAGGGAACTAAACACTTTTTCTATTGATGTCACAGATAGCACATCTAATATTTTATAGTTCCAGGTAAGTTAGTAAAAGCAACATGAACTCAAAAGCAGACTGAGTTTCAGAGAGCATCTAGAAAACGGGAATAAATGTCTATTGTAGATTATTGTAAAATGCTTATTACCAATATAACCAAGTAAGTTATGGAAATTAGAAGTCAACTTCCTCTTTGACTGAATCATTTTTCTTCGGGAACTCGGTAGCTTAAATAAGTTTGATGTTGAACACAACGAAATGTAACGTTAAAGCAAAAAGAAACGAACCAAGACATCTACTTTTAACATTTAACACTAAGTTAAATTAATAACTTCGCCAAATGAGCTCACAGTCCCATTGAAACGGACAAATGTGCTAAGTCAGCTAACGTGTTGTTTCTTATTCCTCCTGACCTGTTCCGATGAAGCTGCGGACTCGGGCTTATTCCACTCCTGTAACCTTCAGATAACTTGATTTTCCACCGCCCTGCCATGTGAAAAGTGTTAGTCATAGTCTGCTCAATCCATGTTGATGAATAAATGTAAGCCAACTAAGGCTAACACAGTTATCTGTAGAGGGAGCGACGCTGACGAGTGAAGAGTCTGTGGGTAAAACCCAACGTTGAGCAACAACAGTTCAGTGAATTGAGTTCCAGAGCAGGGGGGGTGTGGATCTACGAAACACATAATGTGTCTTGTTTTGCCGTTTGGATTATTACAGTATGAGGTTTTACTGTAAAACAAGTATTATTTAACATTTAACCATGATTATAACCCCGTCTGGTATAAATCTGAGGGTAAAATGACGCCCCAATGCCGCTCACCCTCCCCCGGAATGAAGACCAAAGTAATCTGTTCTAGCTCTGCTCTGAATTGGCTGGAGAAGCGTGTTTCATAGATAAGGCCAAGTTACACACAAGCTACACACTATATTAGTTGGCTGGGTTTTTTTCCTCCTATGAAGCTTATTTTAGCAAGTTTTATTTAACTACAGTGTAACAAATACCACCTTAATTGTTACATACAAAAATGTATCAATGAGTGAATGAATATATATATATATATATATATATATATATATATATATATATATAAAATGGTATTTTGCAAAAGCAGGGGGAACAAACTGGCTTTCAGAGACAGTCCTCACTTAAGCCATATTTTATATTGTATTTTCAGTGGCCGTAAGCATATCATAAACCGAGTTAAACTGTAGATCATTTAGCCACCATTTATAAACTCTCCAAGCTCAGTGCAACTTTCTCAGAATAGGCATGATTTCAGCATTAAAAAGATGGCAATGGCAGGTCTTCTTGCATCTGTTCAGACGAACGTCACTTCGTCATCGTAAAAGCTGTCAGGCTATTCTTCCATAGCTACATGTTCAGCTTGAATAGAGAATGCACCGAATGGTAACACTTGGCCTCTGTGATGCAGCAAACATCAATATTCTTAAAAGATATAATAAAACGTAAAAATCTGTCATCTCACGTGTGTCCAAATAATGTCTCTTACCAGCAACCTTTTTCTCCCTAATCTCCGGATGAAAGTAGTCCAGTGAAGCTGATCATTATCATAGTCTTGAAACAAAAGAGTTCCTTCTGTGTTGAAATCCACCCCAGACTGGTGTTTAAATATCCGGCAGACTCCACCTCACATGAACACATATTTTTGCCTATACTTTGCCTTTTGAATAAGGGGAGTTTCAAAGAGTACCTTTCTTTGCCTGCTTCTCTGATGTCATCCAATTCCAATCTGTACTGTGAATACATTATTCTGATGTCATTTACCGGACTCACAAACAAGTTATATATGTTTACCAGTAGTAAGTTCAAATGAAGACATTGAAAGCTTATAACAGTATATAATATAATATGTACACATACCTGGCAATAAAAGTATAAACCAATTCACAGGATTTATGCCAGACATGGCTTACAAATGAGCCTCAGGTGTTGGCTGGGACAGGTGTAAAGTTTGCTTGGGTAAACCACACACATTTAGGATATGCATTATATTCCTTTATGAAGATTTTGGCACTCCAAAACAAATTTCTGAGTATCAATGTGTTGAAACATCTGTTCATCGTTATAGTTACATGCTTGTGAGCTGTGAGCATCATGGTGAGTAATGTCACAATAACGGTTTTACTGTGACAGTTATAGACACATCAACTGCTTTTATAAGATTTTTTTATTTTACGAGATTAGTATATGGTGGCAGGTTCTTACTGTACAGACTGTAAACTCAGGTGACTTCAAACAAATGGGGTGTTGAATTTTTGTTTTGAAACACTAGTCTCTTTCTTACATGTGTAAAGAAAGATCTTACACGATGGCCATTAAATTGTCTCTAAAAGTTATGACCACTGAGAGTAAAACGCGAAGGTCAACAAACACTATGAGAATCCTGTTGCCACCAAGTGACTTCACCATATAGGGACTTATTGTAGATGCCACTACTCAAGAGCTGGGACAGTGACCATGACTCATAGCTGACTGATAACCTTTTGTTGAACTAAAAAGGGTCATTGTAGTTAATGCATTACTACAAAAAGGCCTTTTGTAAGACAAAGTATCTATTTGCACTTATAGCAAAAAAAAACACATTAAGGTGCTTTAATTGATAACATCTGTATTTTCACACAGTTTACCTCATTGCACCAAACCATTATTCCCCTTTTCAAATACACACTCAGACCACACAATAGATTTGTCTCCTGAAGACAGTGTACATACTGTACATATAAAACAGCCTTTGTTGGTCAGCAAAGCCAGAGAGTTGTTGGTTTTGCAGAGTCAAATATTTTCTTTTAACTCCGATACTGCAATTCACCTCATGGCCTTGCATATTATTACAGCTTTGTGAAAGTAAACAATAGAAAGTTATTGTACTTCCACATCTCCCCCAGACTCAGCTGAAAAAGGTACTTGCCCGGAGGTAAAAAAAAAAAAAAAAAAGCACAGAGACGTGTGTAGAGTAAAATCATTTCATGGAAGCAATAAAGTGGAGTACACTTTGGCACAGGCCTCTTTATCCTCTAAGGAGAACAATATGACAGACAGCTTTGCAGAAACCCCTTTCCCATGGAGATGGCATTAATGGCCTTCAGTTCTCTCTGAACTTCATCCATCACTCATTAGTAAACCCCCCCCCCACACACACACACTTCACTTCACTCCCCAACAACGGTTTGCCTTTGCAATTTCCTCTGCAGGTGGCTAATTTCATCACAGGTGGAGGTCAGTAGGATTATTTCTACTACATGGGTAAACAGGCCTTATCAGTTCATCTAGTGTTTACAACCTTTGACAAAAACATGAATTCTCTATCGTTAGAAAAGATTATTGGACAATTATCTTTAATTATATTATATAAAGACTGGCAAGAGAACAAAAAGAGATTTCCTCCTGTAACTTCCTATGAACTTAATCTTAGTTTTTCAGTTTGGATTGCAAATTACTAGCTGTCCCATTAACAAAGCTCCAGATGGAGGTAGCATTACACAGACTATGGGAAAAAATATTTTATCAGAAAAAATTGTCCAGAGAAGTCTTAAAACTTTGGAAATGTCTTCTATATATTTCTCTTCAGGAACTTAAAATTCTTTAAATCCCTAAATAACATGACTTAATTAAATCTTTCCATTTGTACTTCACTCAGGAAAATACGGTGTCTATCAGGTTTTTAGAAATAATACAGTTCATGACTCCCAAGTCCTTTTAGAGTTAGACATTTCACCAAGCAGGTCTAACTTCCTACACCTAAGAATAGTTCTTCGGGTCACGTCATTACAGACAGTCATACAGTATACAATGTGGGAGAATGCAACCATTGGACAAAAAAAAAAACTCCTCCTAATAAGTGGACCTTATTTTGAGAAATACATTTTTTAAAACTGGAATCAACCAATTAAATACCCAACATGTGTAACTTTTCAGTTTTAGAATGTGAAACATTCTCTCAGGTTGCTAAAACTTCCCAGAAAGAAATACCCCCACAACATAACCTCAGTGGCCCTCAGGTAGGTACAGCGTGGTGTCTATTTTAGCACCTTCACTTGCAACCTTAAATTCAAAATATTTTCACAGTTTCAGTTTTTATAGGCAATGATGTTTCCCTTGATCTTGTGAAGTAAATGCACATTAATATGCTATTAAGCTATGATATATTCATATAAAAAAGTACCATGACACAGTTTAGCATTTTCAAATTGTAATTAAAAAACAATATAATAAATTAAAAGTGAAACATAGTATGCCAAAGCAGCAAATGAAACAACAGGATCTCTTACTAGACTCTCTGCTGCTGTGTACATGTGTGGCTCTGAGGTCATTGAAGCCAGTCCATCCAACATTATAATATGACATTAATCCACTTTTTGTGGGCCTCTGATTGTCAACTCCTCCCTACACTATTACCGATAAGCAGATCCTGTTACATGCATAATAAAGCAAACCATGATGCTGTCAAAAAACTGAAGTGTGCACTTATACTTTCCCGCACTACTTATGACCGTGACAGAGGGTTACATTTTCCTTCAACTCCTCAAGTTCAATGTATCAATCCGGGAAACAATCTGCAGCAATTAATTCAGGACATTTCGTCCTGTGTCTGCACACACATTCACACATGACATGCACACAAACTGTGATCTGTAAACTGAGTAGGATTTGTTTTGTTTTTTGCCAACTTGGCCCCCTTCTAGATCCCCACTGGTGACTTTTTCTGTGTCTAACTGCACACAAGCCAAAAACAGATCACATGCAGAGGCTCAGCACACATTGCATCAGCCTGTCCACATTAAGGGCATCAAATATATCAGGAGATCATGTTATTTTAAAAGGTGGTTCAGGCTTCCAGTTGTAGGAGAAACCACAGGACGGAGTTGATGGAGTGGCTAGTCTTAGACGCTCCTTGGACAACATCAAGCTTCACAGAGGACAACTGGGAAGTCTACATGGATGCAAGGGTGGTCCAGCTTTATAATTCCCTGGAAGGACACAAAGGAGATTAAAGTTATTTGGACTGAGAGCTACCGCTGATGGGTAAAGCCTTAGTTCAGGGGTTAGAATTTCTTCACCTGAGGTGTAAGATTTTTGTGAATCCTCTTCAGCTTGGCTTTTTTACGTCCATTTTTTGTCACAATTGTCTCTTCATAGAACTCATGGGCCAAGTCGCCATCTTCATCAAAGAACATGGAGCTGCAGCAGAGAGACAAAATTAATTATCTGTACATGCATGTGTGTGACAATACTACAAGATATTACCAGAGTCATTTTAAGAGTACTTTTTAATCTAACATTATTTTCACACATACTGTATTGTGTCACACAAAAAGAAAGAAATCAGAAAGCCACTAAAGAATGTACAAAAAAAGTAGTTTTATGGTGTCAAACTCTTAAACATGTGAGCATTAAAAAAAGCAAAGCAAACTGCTTAGTTTGCATGCAGGGGTCTGCCTATGGGCTTTAAAAGTACGAGGGAAAGTTTTCTGTGCAAACATAGGATGGCCGATGGCCAGTCTTTTTTAAAAATGACTTAACTTGAGCAGATAAGAAACCATGTCATACAACATTATCACTGTTTCCAAGAACATCTACGTAAGAATACTAACTGATTCTACTTTTGTTCTTTACATTCCTGTGTGCTGCTGGGCCAACACGAATTTCACCTGCAGGGGATTAATAAAGGAATATCTTATCTTATGCATTGCTACATCGGCAGGAACTGAGTGATCACATGAATATGGAGCTATTCTCTGGAGGAACACCCTGGAAACAAAGGGGAGAAGGACCACCAACTAATCTAAAAACTCTAAACTAATAACTGAATAGAGTAAACAAAAAAGAAACTGCTTTTACTGGGAATTAAGAGGAATATCACACTGTAAGGCAATTAGATTATTAGAACAGATCAGTATATGTGAGTCTATCGGTCTGCTACTCTCCAGTCTGTATTTACCTTCGTCTAGTCAACACAAAAGGTGTTGCACCTTGGAAACTTCGAACTCTCGCCAGTGAATGCTCGTTTCCTTCTTTGGTTGGCTCGTCCGTACTACCCGAGCCAGAAAAAGGCCAAAATCCTTTGGATTTGGAGCCACTGCCACCCATCTTCAGCTGCAGCACATAATTTTCTTGGGTCACAGGACTGCCAGTGGTTATACAGTATTACTGTACCAGATGAGATGAACCTTCAGAGTACTAAAGCTATGGAAAGTGACACATGAAAGGGAGGAGTTAAGTCATTTTAGGCAATATATTTTACCATGGGCAAACAAAATATTTACAATTAACATCACCCATCTTAGATTAGCTAGTCCTGAAATGCGGTACCACAGACACATTTAACCTTCAATATGACATATGAAAACAACTGGACTATGGATCATAACACGTGTATTTGCATTCATAGCAAAATGATACTATAGATGCCATTATTCTACAGCCATTTTAATAACATATTGCCAATAGCTAACATAGAAGACACAGATTATAAAGACTGTGCCCAGGCTGATGTGAAGTCCAGTTAGGTTATAATTCGTGTCATATGTCCTTTTGTCAGCAGGCCGGTTACATGACAATGCAATCAGAAAATGCAACATTACAATAAGAGAGTCCTGCCAACGTCGCAAACCTGACCACCCTTCTATGTCCTATTATACAATCAGGTTAAATTAGTATTTGAAAATAAGAAAATGCTGTATAGCGTTAGGCAGCTCCAGTCCACAGGGCTCGGTAACATTGGCTCATCTGATCAGGACAGCTAACGTAGCTAGCTAGCTTTGACTAAATTGGTCCTGCTTGCGTTAGTTGCTGTAGCTGTTATGTCACTTTTTGTCCTGGCTGCTAACATTACCATTAGCTAACGACAGTTAGCACTAGCATTAGCCAACATGTCAACATGTTTCTATCTTATTTCACAAAGTAAGTAGTTTACTGACGCTGCCAAATGCTAACGTTAGCTGCGTTCACAACTGGCGTTTGTCGCTTCCGCTTTGCTAACGTTAGTTGAAAACATACCTAAAGTGGGGTTTGGTGTGTTCGCAGGTAAGAAATGTTCTCTGATGAATTTGTCTTGGTGGGCTGCTAAATCTGTACAGGCAAAAACACACAACTACGCTAGCTGTTTATGCAAACTAACGTTACACGTTGTTCTTCTCTGTCTTTTTCTCTGACGGCTGGCAAAGACACTATGGTGAGCTCACGCCACCACATGGGCAGGAGTGGTAAACTAGAAACCTGTACAAGGGAAGAAAGCAGCTAGAATGTGCTGAATATGGAGAAAAAACTATATCAGAGCAAATCCCTGAAGCCAGGTTCTAAAATATTGTAAAAACGAGAAGAGTGGAGGCTGTTAACGTTATAAAAGCATTTAAAATGGCCATGGTTTTGAATGAGATACAGTACAGTAACGTATGAGTGTAACATATAGGTGTCCACATACTTTCATCCATATAAGGTATTTCAGCTTTCCACAGAATGCAGACTACTGGTCTAACACACGGTCTGTCAAACACTTCACTATAACAATAACATCAAATGACCCATGATTAATTGTCACCAGTTTATTAGATAATTAGGATGCAAATACATTGGTTCACATTATCCAACGAAGATTAAAGTCAAGGGCAACTGGATTTGGTTAAAGATACTGGAAGACGTTTCGTCCCTCATCCAAAGGACTTCTTCAGTATCTTCAACCAAGTCCAGTTGCCCTTGACTTTAACCTTCGTTGGATAACTATGACCTGGATGACTGAGAATCTTCATAGACATTGGTTCACATTTTACTTTTGCCCAAATCCATTTCACAGGTTCATTAAAGTGCCAAAATTTCCAAACAGCTTCACAGAATATAAATTAAACTATATATCATGTGATAGATTACCAGAAAGACTAAAACTGTGTTTTTAATACCACTATAAATAAACTAGTCAAGCAGCATGGTTTTTCAACAAAGACCTGTATCCAGTTAAGACAGAGATAATCCATCCCACCTTCAGTTTACAACAGTGGCTCTGCTTGCACAAAATTAGCAAGGTCTAAGCCTTTAGGTAGTTCACATTCATTGTATCCCTGCTTCATAACCAACACTTAATCAAAACAATGTCATTGTCTGAGCTCTTTCTTTCCCTTTTATATTGCTGATCAACAATACTATTCAAAGAGGCAGAATGTCAACCAGGAGTAGTAATCCTCGCCATGGCCTGCTTCATCATGTCTCTAGCAAGAGTGTGGCGCTTCACAATCTGCCGTACATGCTCTTCTTCCTCGCGCTGCAGGATTCGCAAAAAGTTGCACAACTCAGGAAAACTGAATGCATCCCACTGTGGAGGGGAGACATTTCCCATTAAAATCAGTTATATATACAGTTCACATAGTGGCTTTTCAGTATAGGTTGACAGGTTTATCATATGTATTAATTATCTGCGTCGTATGGAAACTTACATTTACTTCCCCTGTCTCATTCTCTTTCAAAACCAGACTCAAGGCTTTTTCACTGGGGCCAGCACACAATCGCAGGTAGAGGGGACACTGATCATCAGACAGTTTACGCATGTACACTAAAGGAAATAAAATTTAGCACTTTAGAATTCAATACTCAGTTCTGTTTTGCTGTCACTGCGCATTTTTGAGGAGTCTACCTTGATTTTGTCTCTCAAAGCGTTCAAACAGGGCAAACTTGGCTGGGTTGTCCACCACAGTGAACTTGTTGAGCAATGCCTCAATGACTTCTCGTACACGTGTTTGGGAACTTATATGCAGGTGCTTGGCAGTGTCTTTGGGGAGGTAGAAAGATGTCCGCCGTTTCATTCGTCCGCCCTGCTGTTCTTCCTCCTGTGTGGAGCACAGGCTCTGAGGGGGAGGAAGGGAGATAGGACGGACCAACTGAAAGTGGACCTTGATGAAACCAGTGTAGGACCCGTCTTTATTCTGAAAGGTAGACAGATTTGTATTGTGAGAACTGTAGTAAAATGGTCTCATACAATGTCAACACCATCTGCAAACTATTATATACGAATAGTAAAATACAGTTCAAGTATGCATTTATGCATGAATGTATGTTCAGACAAAAAAGGTTTAGTAGTCACTCACAACCACCATGTAGAGATTGCTGTTGATCTGTGCATTATACTCCTTAATCTTGTGTTGAATCTCACTAAGAGTCAACTCCTGTTTACCCCACTCGACCTGTTCATCCTGAAAAAGAGAAGAGCCAGTACAGTACAGCAAATAGGCCGCATAGTGTCAGCAGTAAACTTGTCCTCGCAAATGAACTTGGAGGGTGAAGAGAAAGTGACAGAGAGAAGACAAATGGGAATAAAAGTAAAATTGATTCAAGCTCTTTGTTTGTAGTTATAAAATAAAGACATGATTTAATATAATTAAATAAACCAAAAGTGAAAGAGCAGCTTCGTGCCTATAGGACTGATGAATTATGCCATAGCCTCACCGCTGATCTTCTGACCTCGTGAAAGAAAGACGTATAAGCAGTAAAGTACAGTTCCAGCTCTGAACTACAGTCCCCCTGACTGCAGAATGCGTCACTTGCTGTGCTCCCCCAGGTCATCTCCAAGATTCAGGCGAGTGGGAATTTTAGCAAACCTTTTTAGGTTTTTGTCATCGCCAAAATCTGGAATTGAACAATTTCTCAGCGTTCCTCCGTCTCTCTCTTCTGTCTGGAGATTGATTGTCTTTGATTCTACTAACAGCTCTTTTGAACTCAGCATTTCCATTTGCTCCTCCCTGACAATAAAACCTCACAAAGATGTCTAAAGGGCCAACCCACTCCCAGGGCAATCTGCTTAAATTATCCTGAGAGCAAGACCTTCGCCCAGTGTTGATGTGTGTGTACAACAGCGATTCCTATCATATTTAACTGCCCATTTCACTACTCCACCAGCTTTATTTTTGAGAAATTCACTATTCTGCCACACCTTCACACTGTGTTTAAACATAGTCTAATGGGGCAATCATTTAAATAAATAAAAATCATGGTAAATCAATTTTTTAAAAGCGGGAAGCTCTCAGTCAGAAGCCTATATGTTCTGCTTTTATTGACTATTTTTTGTGGATGCGACCATGCGTCTTTCATCTTCTCAATCTTTTCAAAAATAAAAACATTGATACCTGATTAAAAGCTTTTGACTTTGCTTTGTGACTTTTTGCTTTCTGTAAGACATATCTGAGTCTGTCCTGTCACACACACGTTATAAGGTGCGGCTGAACAATGAATTTCTCAAAAATAAAGCCATTGGTCAAGTTGTGATACGGACAATTATAAATGGTATAAAATTATCCTTTTCTGTCTAAAAGGAGATGGGCCTCGGTAGGGACAGTTATTTTTCCGTTTCTGAAATAAAGGCAGCTGTTATTGTCAAGCTGCTACGTTATCCCCTCCCATCAGCTCGCTCCCAAATTACTTTCTGTATAGATGCCTTGACAATGGGGAGGTAATAAAAGCAGTATTTTTGAGGGCATATGGCACACTTATACTCAGTGGACAGCAGTGGACAATCTGGTAGCCTCCATCTGCTTTCACCTACACAATCTGAACAGAGGCAGTTGTGAGCGCATTCATTTCCCTAAAATAATGCTTATTGCATGGTTGTACAGTTAAATCATTGACGCCCAATTAATTATTTTTTAATTATAAATGATCTGTACAGTATTCAGTTTTGAAAATAATAAAACAATCCATGATGTATGACTGATGTATGACTGATGTATAGTGATTGTGCATTTGTTCCTCACCACATTTGTGTCTCTCTCGATGGAGTCGACACAGAAGTCTTCCGGTTCTGTTAACAAACTTCCATCTGTGCTGCAGTCCAGCTGGATCAATGGTCGGCAGCGGTAGTGACAAGTATAACTGCAGTCTGAGAGAGAGAAAGAGATTATTGGTTCACCATTAGAGGGTGCAAATTCGGCATTCTCAGTTATACTTTGGCGAGCGGTCAAAGCTCGTTGTGTAGAGCGCTCTAGTGTGGATTTTGTTCAGTAATCTGTCCCTGTGCTGAAAAAACATCACCCAAAACACTAACCTAGATGCATTATCTATGTTATGTAAGCAACAGGCCAACATTTGTGTATGTAGCCTACAACATTTCTCATGTTTGATATTTAATTAGATGTATATTATAGCCTGCTATTGTTACAGCAGTTCATTTCTTAGTTGAACTGGGACAGAAATGCCTCAGGCCAAATCATATAGGCAAACAAATGCATTCCCAGGCACCGTCTGTGTGACATGAAGCTTGCCAGAGCTTCCTACAGATTAGGACAAACTCCGTGATAAAGCTTCTCATGAATGGAAAAATAACACGAGCATCCTGTAGATGCTCTGGGAGCTTTGGATGGACATTATTTTATTAAGGGGTTACAGAGCTGAAATGGGTTTTAATTTGAGGGCATTATAAGTAATTTCTAATAAGGTTAATGGTTTTATATTCATACAAGTGTTCTTTACCAACCTTGAGTCAGCAACCACATTGTTTCTCAAATGTCTGTTATTAAGCCCATATGCACACGATGATTCAAAATACTGGATGTCACCGTGTCTCATGATATTAAGGTTTAGTGGGTGTTCTCTGCTTTTTAGTTGAATGGTTGCAGAAAAGTATGCTTATCATGTGCCAAACTTGAAGGATAAGGATGATGTTATTGCCAAAATAAAAAATTTGTTAGTCCATTTCTCAAAATTTTCAGACTTCCCCAACCTGTCTGTGGCTCTCAGTGCCATTTGTCCATTTGTTCATACTGAAGATTTAAAAATTTAAAAACAAGCCTCTGATATATTTGTTTAAATTGAAATATGGTTAAATGATTTAGTTAACAGTAGAGCCCTGTAATTTTTAGCAAATCTTACTCAAACAGCAGTTATTAGTGTGTTTGTTGGGAACTATTTTCAGCTGTGGATAAATACACATTTGGTGCATTAGTGTGTATTTACTGCAGCAGGAGGGAGGATGTGGAGCTGGCTAAAAATTAAGTGCAGTGCTCATGTTCATGGTACTGAAGAAACATGGCACCCAGTACCAGTTTGGCTCATTACTGTGGTTTTAATTGTCTTTGGCCACACAGGCAATCCTTTTAATTTCATTGTTGGTCTTCTCATGGGATTTGTTGGCAATAAGAAAACTACAGACTACCCTACTCATCCTTTAAACAATTTGATACAAATTCACATGCATAAGGTACTTACTGGTGCAGCGTAAACCTTGCTTAAAAAGACCCCAGATGAATTCTCCACACAGGTCACACCAGGTGAGATGGGTCTGACTGTAGGCCTGGAAGTCATGACCCATTCCAGCTTCTCCGATCTGACACCGGGGTGGCTCGATACTGACACTGTCTCCAACCAGACGGACGACATGGAAGTGGCCTGGCTGACCTGCGTTTACAGGTGGAGGGGCTGTGCGGGCCGCAGGAGCAGCCAGCTCAATGGGGTCATTTACACTGAGGTCCTTCAGCTCAATCAGCTCACATTTAGACATCCTGTCCTTGATTTGGATCCTGACATGTCAAGTAAATGGGTGTACATCCAGCCCTGAGAGGAGACAGCATTAGTGTGTGCACCTTCGCATCCTTAATGAGGATGGTGTGAATGTCCACCAGGTCAGTTTTTTAAAATATTGTCCACTTTCACTGTGGTGTGTTGTGCAGAGGAACCAGTGGCTGCTAAATTCTCAGGAGCTGCAAGACAGATTGAAATCATGCACACGTTTGTGTGTGCAATACTATTAATACATGTAAGGGTAAGTTTAACATAAAGCAAGCAATAGAAATGTATAAAACCCATGTCTATGCTGTATTATAGTATGGGCTTTTACAAATGGCTAAAGATTAACCTAATGTTATCTGATGCCAGGATTCATATGATTATAATAAAATGTGGGTCAAAATGACTAGTATAATCCTGTGCAGTCCTGGGACAACTTACACTGTTTTTCTGTGCATGACACTGAAACAAAACTGTACATTTTAGACAAAACACTTTCACCAAAAAGTAAGCCAATACCATTTAATTAATTAAATTTAGAAAGCACATTACTAAATTAAATCTTTAATATCAGAAATAGCTGGCAACACAACAGCCTACAGCTTTGATTTTAAGTTTTTAAACATTTATAATGCCATGTATAACAGCTACAGGTGCAGAGTGCAAAGAACAGAGGAGGAATGTAACTTAAGTACATTTATTCATCTACTGAGTACTTTACTTAAGTTACTTTACTTTGACAAGGCACTTTACTATTATTTCCATTTTAGCTACTCTATACTTCTTCTCCTCCTCTATGTTTCAAGGAGAAATCTTGTTTTTTTATTTATTTATTTCCTCCACTGTCTATCATGCAGCTATTGTAATTTTTCAGATTATGATGCATGGAAAACATATGATCATCTTATTCAATATGAAGTAGATTAAATTACATAGCAGACGTACAATGAGGTTCATCAGAACCCCCAACAACATTAATAGCTACTGTACATGTTGATGCATCATTGATATTACTCACCTGGTAAAAGATAAAATATACATTCTGCTGCATAACTAGTAGGCTACTTTTAGTTTTGAGATTCTATGTAGCCTAAATTTTGCGCTGACAATTATGTACTATTCCCAGAGTAAGATTTTGAATTCCGGACTTTTACTTAGCCTATTTAAGTAAAGAATCTGAATGCTACGGTGACAAGGGTTGATTTACAAACACTTCATGGCAATAAAACTAATTTCCTGAACTAAATACAATCTTCTGGAGTGTCATTAGGAAGAATAGCCTACCTGTAAAATGTTCACAGGTGCATCGGAAACTGCGTTTTATTATTTTCCCTGTGGAGCATTGTGACTTGAATATGAACAACCCGGGGCTCTATCTGCCAAGTGGGTCACCACACGGCACAATTATTCTCACAGGGCAACAAGAGCACATTGTAACCGGGCTCATCCATGCATATTTTGCTGCTTTCGCCATACATCATTTTAGCATGAAACAAGCCTAAGCATAAATTACTTCATCTGCAAAAGTTTAATTATTCTTTATCTGTTGCAAAATGCAGAGCAGTGTGTAACGGGACAGCCCGGTTTAATCCTGTCTGAAACGGGACGACAAACTCAGTTGACAGTGACACCCGAACAAATCTTCGGAGTTAACCGAGAGACAACCCGTTAAAAGAGGAACTTACCTCGTTTAATCCATCGTCGGCCCTTATCGTAGAGGAGTTTTGGAAAGTGAACGCAGTTTGTCGTTTGTTTCAGCACCGAACCGTCCCTCGCCCGACGCACGCACCTCAATTTGCGCATGCACATTGTGAGTGTGGGATTACCGTCTAATCCCGTGTGTGTATTAAACCATCCTGAGTGAGGCACCACAGGAGGAATGCCCTCTGTTCTCACTGTAGAAATACACTACAGTGTGTAGTCCTTAGTACAGTGATGGAGGGGTAAACAGATATGATCACACACTGTGATAAACGTTAGATTTAGTCTACATTTATTCATTTGGCAGACGCTTTTATCCAAAGCGACTTACATTTGAGGAACAACATACAAGCATCAACAGAGCATCAAAAACAGATCTACAACAGACAATACATACTAGTAAGAGCAGCAATAAATACTAGTAAGAGCTCATAGTACATATCACATCAGTGGGTAAATAACTAGTGAAGGAAGTAAGAGTTAACAAAAACAAGATAATTGTAAAGGGATAGAAGAAGAAGAGCACAGGAAGTGCATGTTAGAGGTTAGGAGTTAACATTAACATGCTGGGTTAATGGTTAACAATCATGTCCCAGTGAATATAATTAATAAACCCTTAATAAAAACAATGTCTGGGTTGCCAGGTTGTGAAAAATCCCATCCTCCTCCTTGATGGATTATTGTAATAAAAAAAATTAAAGAATCTAAATGGCAGGCCTAATAAATCCTTTATGAATGACCCTATATTATAGCTAGCCTACATTTGAACATGTTTTATGTAGTTTTATTTTTAAGTCTGAAGAACGATTTAGCTGGCTGTAGGCCTAAGTCTAGTTTCCTTAACTTTAACAGTAAAGTTAAAACTGTGAATTGAATGTTTGGTCAAATATCAGAGGTCTAGCTTCAATAGGGTAGGATGTCCAATATTAATAAAATCTTAACTTAAAAACTTAATGATTTTATAGGCTAAAGTAAAAATCACATTGTCAGTTTCACCAATTTCAGAAATGTATCAAAAAGGGATTTAAAGTAGTCAGTAAAGTATCTTATATGTCCTAATGAATGATAGAATTGGTCAATCTGCAACAGAAGGAGTCAGTTTAAATGTTTAATTAAAGGCCATTTGGAAACTCCTCAATGAGGAAAAAGCCCCCAGGCTCAAATATCGGGGAAGATGAAGGGCTCTTCTTACTCCATGTTATCTCTCTCAAGTCACACATACATGATGGAAGATGATGAGAATTCATAGTGAGTCTGATTTACTTCACTTTGTAGACAGAAGAGAAGAAGATCTCACAGTGACATGGACGGACCGTCTAGGTTTGGAGATAGAGCTGCAAGTTAATCTAGAGAAAAGTTGTGAGACATTGTTTTGCACGTCTACTACTTATATAGGTAGGATGTTAGTAATACTTTATTTTTAATATTTTGGGTTTTAGCTGCAAAAGTGCCAAAGCTGTATTGAAAACAAAGACATGTTTATAATTCAAGTCCTGCAATAAAAATCTTGCCAAAGCACATCAATAAAAGTAGGAAGTATTATCAGTGAGAGGAAAGGGGACACAATGGTTTGGGTTGGACAACTAAAGAAAATGATTCCGGTCAGAGAATCTGTTCTGAGAGGATACTTTATTTATTCCTGTTACAACAGTGAAAATGAGCAAAGAAAAAACTTCTTTAAACCCAATTCTTCCAAATAAATCAGCTCCCCATTCATAAGAAGTGTTACATTTAGTAGGCTATTGAGAGAACCTGTTGTTGACATAAAGTAGGTTTTATATATATATATATATATCTATAGGCTGGGGTCTACCACACCGGGCAGGACCCCAGGTGCAGACTGTGCAAGGATGCCCCTGAGACAGTACAACACATAACAGCAGGGTGTAAGATGCAGGCAGGAAGTGCGTACATGGAACGCCATAACCAGGTAGCTGTCATAGTGAACAGGAACATCTGGGCTGGAAGTTCCAAGGTCAAAATGGAAGACACCTCCTAAGGTAGTTGAGAATGACCGAGCTAAGATCCTGTGGGTATTCAAAATCCAGACTGACAAACTGGTGATGGCTAACCAACCAGACATCGTGTTGATCGACAAACAGCAGAAGAAGGCTGCAGTGATGTAGCAATCCCTAGTGACAGCAACATCAAGAAGAAGGAACACGAGAAGCTTGAAAAATACCAAGGACTGAAAGAGGAGCTAGAAAAGATGTGGAGATTAAATGCAACAGTGATGCCAGTGGTAATCGGGGCACTGTGGGCTGTGACCCCCAAACTGGGAGAGTGGCTACAGCAGATTCCAGGTACAACATCAGACGTCTCTGTCCAGAAGAGTGCAGTCCTAGGAACAGCTAAGATACTGCGCAGAACCCTCAAACTCCCAGGCCTCTGGTAGAGGCTTGAGGATGACACATACCACCCCACAAGGAGGGTGAGGGGAATTTTTAATTATATATACAAACACCAGTGACATAAATACTAGCACTTGGTAAAAACAACCCATTGTCTTGGGTGATTTTCTATCCGTGGATAGTGAGTAAATTTAACCCAGTATTGTGTTGGTACCAGTTTGCAGATATTTTAAAGATGTCTGATTTGGATTAGTGCCACCATCAGTAGGCCTATGGGTCGCAATAGGAACCCTTCCAAGGCTCCTCTCAGAAAAAATAAACAAAGACTCTCAATAAACAGTGGCAGTACCGCACGTGTTAGATGGACAGGAATAGAGAAAGAGCGAGATAGCAAAGCCCTGAATGGCCATGTTGTTGTTTTCTCTTGCTGTGCCTGCTGCCTGTAGGCCTATGCCCAGTGTGTGGAGGCCCTGCAGAGTCACAAGCTTATTACAGACTAATTGGAGCACAATAACCAGTGAACAGATGACCAGTGAGTCTGCACTGCATTGTTGGATGTGGAATGGGTGGTATTAGCCTGAGACATCACATCCTTAACCAGCCGGCGCAACAAACAACATGCATCCAAACTGATTTTACTCCCACTGCAACTTTTATCTGTCTGAATGAAAATGGTTTGTCATTTTTACAGTTATCCATTTGAATAAAACCCAACTTATGTGTAAAACCTTAAATACAAATTTGTGCCTAGATCTCCCGTCTGAATTCAACCAGAAAAGCATGTGCTTTCTTAAATGTATGTGAAGGGTCTTTCTAGGAGGCGTCCACGTCATCCGCGATTCAGAATCAGCAGACAGGATTTCCGGGCAGCCTGGTTTCAAAATAAAAGCGCAAACAAGTTTAATATTTGGGAACAGGATTAGTATTCTAAGTATTCTCAATGGGCCCCTGCCTGGATCCATGGCTATTTGTTCAAGTATCTCTGTGGGCCCTCCTCTTGCGAGGTATACTCCCCCACGCTCCCACCCTACCCCCTGTGTATCATGTCACTTGATAAACGCTTTATTCTGAAACAACTAACCGGAAGCACTATTTCTCTGCCCGGCGGAGCAACACAACAAGGTAGAGCACGCTGGATACAGTCTATGATTTAGATGCTTGGGAATAGATTCAGTCGTAAAGTTACCTTGATGTGATAGTTGTTTGGTAAGTAGACGTCTGTTAAAGTCCCGTCTTCTGGCTTCAAATCATCTAACTTTGCAGGAGGAGGTAACGGTTACGTTTCATACACCATCAGATCCGGTTCTTTTTGACTGAAACGGAACACTTTAGGTGACAACATTGCGTGGGTCGGTGCAGGTGAGGTGAGCTCCCTGGGTCCACATGAGCTGTCTTAAACATGGTTCACACCAGAGAGCCTGAACCTGAGCCTCGGGTCTACGGTTATACCAGAACAGCTTCCGCAGTGCTGACCCACTTCATCTGCTTTGTCTTCACTGTGTTCATTGCCGTTCTGTCTCGACCGGGTACAAGTGAGTCCTTCAGGTCACTGTCCGTGTTGGCATAACATTTGTTCATTAGAGTTCATCAATTGTTCTATTTTATTTCAGGTTGGTTTTCCTGGCACCCTTTCTTTATGACACTAGCGGTAAGTTTCAAAATAAATCTTTTTAAGCAGTAAACACATAGTTCAATCAAACCCTTCCAATATTCATTTTAGAGTTAAAACAGTCAGTTAATCCAGTGGTTTCCAGCTTCTCAAACATACAATTTGAATATGTATCCATGTAAGGTTAAAATGAAGGCGACCCCACAGAGATTAAATAGCTGAGTTTCCCAACCAGTCAATCAGACAAGGGCGTCATTTTGTGTTGAAATGGGGGGGGGGGGGGGGGGGGGGGGGGTTGACGTGATGATGCACAATTCTGGGGTCACGAGAACAAGACAAGATATTTTACAACTTTTTAGAAGAAATATTTATTGATGACATATAGGATTGGGGGTCTGGGGGTCCTCCCCCAGAAGATTGTGAGCATTAAACACTTAATTTCCTGCATTCTGGAGACATTTTCTGCACCAATTTATGGTGGAAATGTCTTTATTTATATAGGGGGAAATACAAAATTCAGGTTGCAGGTGACAAATTAAAATATATACTGGAATATAATGCAGTAATCAGTAGCTTTTAGTTGTTTTTTTTTATCAGCTTAGGTAACTCTTCTATATTTCTATATTATCTTATCTATATTTACACTGCAATGCAATTTTTCAGAACATTTTTTACAAATGCTTTAAAAAAGTGATGGGGACAACATCGGCCATTTCAAAAAGTGGTGGGAACATGTCCCCAGCATCCCCAGTCTAAGTGACACCCATGCACTCAAAACTAAAAAACTCTCTTGGATGAGGGACGAAACGTCATTGAGTATCTTCAACCAAGTCCATTTGCCCTTAATTTTAACCTTCCTTGGATAACTATGACCTGGATGACTGAGAACCTTCACTGATAATTTGAATATGTCTACTTGGGCTTTGGGGATATTGTGATGGACATTGTATGGTATTTTGTAAACCAAAATATTCATCGATTAATCAAAATTATTCAGATTAATCAGTGAAGACAATAATTGTGAGTTGCAGCCCCACTTGATTTTCTTTCCTTTTCCACTAGTTCTCCTTCTTCATGACAGAAGCCATACTCCTTTTCTCCCCCCATGGCTCCCCCATCAAAAGGTTTCCTCACAAGACAAAAGCTCGTGTTCACTGGATCCTGCAGTGCCTCTGCGTGTCTTGTGCAGTCCTGGGTCTGGCGGCCATCTCGTATAACAAACACCTAAATGGTAAACCTCACTTCACCTCGTGGCACGGTCTGCTGGGCTTGCTCACGGTGTGTGTGGTGGGGTTTCAGTCTTTGGCGGCTGTACCTCTCATCTACCCCTCTCTGGCCAAAGGCTGGTCCCTGGCCAAACTCAAACGCTACCACGCAACCTCTGGACTCATCACATGCCTGCTCGGCAGTGGCAGCGTGCTCCTTGGCCTCAGCTCTACCTGGTTCACTGCATCTGTCAGGGAATACACCTGGTACCTGTCAGCACTCTGCCCTGCTCTCACAGCCCTTGTCATTATGAACCAAGTCACCAGTGCGTACATGGCTAAGAAACGGTTGCAGTCGTGACAGGAGACGGGCTTTCAACACTGTAACAGAACACTCACTGAATACTTATGTCAGTCTTGCCTACAAGTTTTCATGTTTTAACCGCATGCATCAGTTTGATTTACATGAAAGTGAAAAAGGAACAGATTTCTGCAGCTGTGTTGAAGACTTTGGACCTCGAATTTTCATTTGACAATCACACACAATATTTTATATGTAGGAGTGCTAGCTTTAGTTTATGACCAAATAACTTTCAAATGAATGACATTCCCATCAGCCTCAGCTCTACTTGTGTTTAGTGCTAATTGACATGCTTAACTAAAATGGCAAACATACCTGCTCAACATCAGCATGTTACCCTGCTGGTGTTAGGATTCAGCAAAGCATTGCAGTGCAAGTGCATCCTCAAAGAGCTGGTAGCATGGTGATAGGCTCTTAAGTCGTGTTTTAAGACTAAGCTGCTTAAATGTGATTGATTTAAAAAAGGCTCACTCAAAAACACAAATGAGAAAATAGGGTTTAAACATTCTCTAGACCACAAACCGTGTGAAGAGCAGAGGGTTTTGACGCAGCATTGAGTATTATATTGGGAGATAAGAGTTTAATGATAAAATAAAACATGAAAACATTTGTTGGACATATTTAAAATTTTTGTATTTCAGGTTGCTTATATCCTGCCTTTTGACCATTTGTCACCTTTGATTACTTATTTAGCCACATGTTTGAATAAATAAGATAATAAATCACAGAAGATCTGGTGTAAATTAAAAGCATTTGTAAATTATTCACACTGCAATGGAGGAGTGTTTTATTGTTAAAATAACATTGATAACACAGTCATATTCTGCTTCGATCTTGGCTGCATGTACGAAATTCTTACTGGATCAGCCGTCAATGGGTCAAAGTGAACAAAAGGTTAAAAAACGTAATTACAAAAAAAAAAAAACAATATATCTTCCATCATAAATAAATACATTTCAGACACTTACACTGAAATAAGGGAAACTGCCAGGTGAGTGGATGCCAGTAAGAAGTTATAAAAAAGCATTTTTAAAAAAATTTAATATTCCCATGAAACATAAAAATGCAAATAACTGACGAGAAATGGATGACAGGTTTTGTTTTATAAATGGATGATTCCCAAGATTCAAATGCAGTGTTTCCAATGGCTTGAGAAGACTGAGAATAAAGACATGGCGTCAGTATGATGTACCTTGCACAGTTCGCAAGCAGATATGATCCTTTTTCCAAGTGCCAGCTCCAATCTGAAACCACCACAAGTCCCCAAGAAATGAGAAAAAAACTTGAGTTGTCCTTGATGATAGAAATGAAGCATCCAGAACAACAGGGAAGGAGCCAGTAGCAAAAATAACCAAAAGTGAACAGTACTCAGACTGTGGGAGCAAAAGGTCCCTACAACATAACATCTCCAAAAAAAAAAAAAAAAAAAAAAAGGGGTGGGGGGGAGGAACGTCATAGGAAGTGACCTGCTGTTTCAGGTTATCCAGTGTTTTCTAAAGGCTAAAAACCACGGCGTCCGGCCTATTTTACCAACGGAGGAAAGGGAATTTCCTAAATCTACATACCTTGAGGTGTCATCACAACACAGAAAGACAAGGCTACAGAGAACAGCAAAGACCTAAACTCCCTAAAGCGCCGCAGACCTACACTGACTGACACTACTCACAGAAGCTACTTACACTGCACTGCTTTTAAAGAGACACCTCTGTGAAAAGCTACCACCTAACGGCACTGTCAGTTCGGTAAGGCCACCACACCACCTGACCTGGCTCTGTCACAGTCACAGGTGGTTGTAATGAAATGTGATCTGGCTTGATGGTTGGGGGCTACATTGACTTCAGGTTTTTATACACCGAGGCTGCATGAATGCAATGTTTTCTACAGTTTAGGTAATATTTGTTCTCAGCAAGGATCTGTAAATAATCCAAAAGAAACTACATGTTGGGTGTAGGCTGACTGAGGGATGACGTATCAACAGATGGTGGGGACGCTATAGTTAAAACTGCAAAAGAAGACAGGTGACCAGCTTTAACGAACGTGCTAGCAACATTAAACCTTGGTTTGCGCTCCTTTTTGGCATTCACGCTTGGTGCTTTTAGTCACTGTGCTCAATCTGCCCCACACAGTTTTTTTCTTTAGTTCGACACCGACTGTCTGAATGCTCAGTAGTTCTTCTAACAGATTTGTAAAAAGGACGTACTATGATAAATGCTAAGACTCAAGACTCCTTTGTGTTATTTAAGGCTAAAAATGAAAGAACACAGTCCGAATCCTTGTCCCAGCCCCTGTGTTATCAAAGGCTAACATGAAAGTACATTCATTTTTGTTTTAAAGGAAAGGGGGGAAAAAACAGTCAATTATAAAGTTAAACGTAAATTTGTTTCCCCAAGCATAAATGCTAGGGTGTATTCATTGTCATGATAGTCACTGTGTTAATGAACCGTCTCCCTACAACCAAAATCTACACACTGCACAGTATTGACTTGTAATATAAACAATGATAATGACTGCTATTTACAAAGTATCAACATGTTCAGTTATAGTATCACACATAATATCCTTTCAACAGGGGATGCTACAATGTCTATCAAATTGCTAAAGATTAAAATATGCTCCGAAAGCCTAAAATTTGTTGATAAAGGTAAGACTTGAAGGATTTTCTCTAAATATATTGTGAACTGGATTTTGAGGAAATATTAACGCCACATTCTGTAGCCGCTGTTATTGTGTAGTATGTAGCTTTCCAGTTTTGTTTACTAGAACAAGGAAACTGTGCTGAAGAAAAATGAGTAAGTTAGTGTTCAGCGCGTGAGTACGGCTGACACGTGTAACAGCAAGTCAAATTTTGCTTTGCCCTTGACTGTTTCACAGCAATAAGTCATGAGACAATCAAACAGGTTTTCATCACATTATTCCACCTGAATTCAGAGGAAATTAAAGTAACAGCCCAGCGAGGCCTTGCTTAAAAGTGTAGCAGGAGAGGCTGTGCTCAAAAAGCGCCACCCCGAAAGATTCAGCTGGTCCCCGTACGACAAAGGCCTGTTCCCACTGCTCTGATGCTCCAGCTGAACAAGTCTGGGATATTCAGCATAAGGATTTTTACTCTGACTTCGTTAAGTCATTAAGGTACAAGTTGATTCTCTCATTTGCAGGTGAGAGTCTGTGTGTGTGTGTGTGTGTGTGTGTGTGTGTGTGTGTTAGTCGTTTAATGAGACCATTAGGAATGGGAATGTTCTTTTTTTGGCCCCCCTCTGACGTGATTTGAACTTCACAATCTTTTCTAACATTGTATGTGTCCAGGATAAACATAAATTTTTAGTTCCTGAAAAGTTAGTTTTTTTACTCATTGTAGAAATTCCCCTTTTCCACCTCTTGACCGCCCTTGTACTCTGATGCGTTTACACATTCAGAATATAACAATGCATTTTACCATCAATCATCAATTTAGAGGTTAAGGCAGATAATATAAAAGAATTTCTTTAGTTTGTTTAATCATTCCCATCCCTAATGTACTTTGTTAACCATGATTGATAAAATTGCGTGTGAAAATGCCTCTTCAGGAGTCTCTACTGTCCTGTCACCTCTATAACGTCGTCATCAGAACTGCTGCTGCCATTCTCCTTACTCTGATGTCTGTCCGGCTGGGTTAGAGCTGCACCCAGCAGGCTGGAAGTTGGGTTGTTGAAATGGGAGAGGAAACTGGATGTAGCAGAGCTGGAGTTAGGCGCAGAGAATCCTCCAGACCGGGAGAGGAGAGGGGAGGGGAACATTCTCGGCTCAGGGAGCAGCGACTGACTGTAGTTGAGAGGGAAGCCTGACGAAAGCAAGCCAGACATGTTGGGATTCATCAAGTACGGAGGCAGAGAACCTGACGCCAGGGAGGAAGAAGTTGCTGCCGAGGGTGTAGATGACATAGGAATGGTGGTGGACGCCGAGGAGAAAACAGTGGGCAAAGAGGACGAGGAGGGAACGGGAAGGTGTCCGTTCCCTGTGGCAGACTGTCTCAGTAGGTCCGAACTTGCAGAGGGGAACATTGTCTGTAGGTCAGCCAGTGTTTGTCCTGGTGTCTGACGGAATGACGATCCACCACTACCACCCATCAGAAGTGGATGACTCATGTGACTAAGGTTCCCCAGCAAGGAGGAGGAGTTCAGACCCACGGGAGGAAAGCTGAGGCCACTGGAGCCCATGGACAGTCCAGCAAAATGTGTTGCAGCAGATGTGCGTTTGCTTCCTATTTGTGTGTTGCCCTCGCTTTCAGTACTCCTGCGTTTGCTGGCACGCATCTCTAAAGCAGAGCTCAGCAGGTCATCACCGACCTGCCTGCCGAGATCACCAGTCTGATTGTTCTGCAAACTGCCTCCATCCCCTGCTGTTGCAGCCGACACGTCTGACGGTGACTGCAATTCATTCCCCACCCCAGTGGAGGCATCACCTGTGGATGTCGTGTAGCGGCTGATCTCTCTGAGAATCTCAGAGCTTAAGGGAGAGGAGGGCCGCTGCTGCCCATTGGGGGATTGCTGCTGTTGGTCCACAGGGGATGAACAGCCATTACTAACTGGATGGATCAGGGAACTCTGGGTGTCTGTGGAAGAGAGAGAAATGTCAGGAGGCATGCACATTGTCTCTGCCTCTGAATTATGTATCAGTCCCTCCAGGAGTTTGCAGGCCTTTTTTGCACTTGTTGTAGTCTAAAATGCCTGAAAAAAAATGAAAGTTGCAATGTTTTGGGGTGCTTATTTGCGATGAAATTGTTGGAATAAGTGAAAAAAAAAGCAAATGTGGATGTGATATTTTAAACTAGAATTATAGTTGAATCATTAAAACAGTCCCTCCAGGATGTTGAGGGCCTTTTACAGTTTTGGTAAAGAAGATCTGGATCCTGTTTTTCCACGGTCCTTTGCCGTTATTTTTGTCAGCAAATGTGAGACAGTGGTATCAAGTGGAAGCAAGATGGCTGACGTATGACAATGTTTTATGGGAAACAACAATTTTAGGAAAAGTTAAATGTAAGCCAAACATGTAATTTAATGTGCAAAAATATAAGAAACCGAGATAACCCTGATGACATCATATGCGTCATTTCTCAGGTTTTAAAACGCTCTCTCCAGAGCCACAGAAGACTTCGCACAACAGGTAATCTGAACGTCATGTGTTGTTTAGATAGTAGTTATGCGAAGCTATGTGGCAGAACCCAAGAAGAATCAACCTGAATGTGTACCTCTTGAAGCAGCTGACCCCCCGCCTGCTGGTCTGCTGATCTTCCCAGATCGAATGGCAAAAATTCTTCCATCATTCGTCCTAATGTAGGTACCTGTGGTGGAGAAAAAAATCAAGTGAAGGAGGCAGCAACTCAAAATCCTTTGTATGCAGAGAGCAATTGTTGTGTTGTTGCAAATACCTTTAGATCCTCTGATAACATGGATGCTCTCTCCTGCAGTAATGCGAGCTTGAACATCTGTTGAGCTGTTGGCTCCTGGGATTACAATATCTGTAGATCCGGACAAAATGGCTGATGTCAACAACATTACATTTTACAAGACACTTTCTTTTTCTGAAAGATGAAATGGTTTGTTCAAAATGTAACATTTTGTGGGTGATGTGGCACTTTCAATGATCTAAACACGTTACCAGTTGTGGTGACGATCCTCTGCACATACACTCCAGCTTTCTGCAGGAAGTTGACAGGCAGGCTGCCAGCAGAGCTGGAGCCAGCCATGCCCATGCCCACCTGGCGAGGCATCATGGGAACTGGGGTCGACTGGATTGGCCTGACGCTTGCCACAGGCTTATCGTCTGGTCTTGCCGTGGGACGCCTGAAAATATGAGGGCTGAACTCATGAGACGCTCGCACATTCTCTAATAATTGTGACTAATCTGATGGAGAAAACAAACAAATTCATGTAAAGCTACAACCTAAAACAAACCAGCAAAGTTAATGGTAGTTTTGTTTTAGTTTTTCCAGATTTTTAAAGGGGATTCTGTCCAGGGTGGACATAAATGCACAGACTTCTTTATACTGTTTAGTGAATTGTAATGCATTGCACCACAGAGTATCAGGAAAACACTGCTGGTTAGTTTGTGTTTGTAGCTGAAGAGCTGAGCTAGTCAGGAACAGTTTTAATGTGAAACAAAACAATAGCATCTGTTAGCCACTAAGCCATCAATTTAATGAGATGCCAAAAAGGAATGCAAGCTAAACCACGCAGTCTGAAACCCACCAGCCGCGTTGGTTAAAGGCTGGTATGTTTGTGAGCGACTGATCGTTGGTTGGGTAATAGGGGGCGTACGATGGGCGAGAGTAGGGGACAGAGGCTCGTTTCTCATCCTCGTAGCTCTTCTTAGCTGCTCTCTTCTCTGCTTTGGTCAGTTTTGACTCCTTGCGGTCCACCAGCAGAGACTCGTGAGGGAAAGGTTGCTAATGAGACAAGTGGAAAGACAGAAATTTAATTACAGTTCGGATTTGCCATGCAAGAGGCAGGTTGATCTGACAAACTCATCACTAATATGGGATTCACAATTTGAATAAAAACAGTCATACTACTTTCCTTTTTCTCTCTCTCCTGCTCACTTATTTTAACAGACAGACTCGGGCCCTTTTCAGATCGGATTTTAGTTTTACTAGGTAAGTTGGGGATTTCTAACAGTTACTAGAATTTCTGTAAGGTTTTTATCACATCCAAATTGACCGTGTCAATATTGCTTTCAGGGTATGTGCTCTCACACAAGTCAATATTCTACTGTAAATCATTGTGAAAATAGAAATTACCCTATTTCACAATACTATGTTGAACTCTTCAATTAAGATCTCTGCCAAGTTCTTTTCTAGTGTTTTGTTGTTAGTGGTGAGTAGGTCTGCAGGAATCTGTGATGTGCAATATTGCTATTAAGGCTGAACGATTTTGAAAAAATATCTAATTGCAATTATTTTGTGAGATACTGCAATTGCAATATGATTTGCGATATTGAAGGAATAATATTTTTTACATAATTATTCTCATTTTCATTTAAAAACGTACTTAAATGATTATGGTGCGATTCTTGCAATCTCTGATCTGTACCAAACAAAGATGTCTTCTTAAGTCTGTAGAATATGTTGTGTAGGCCAGGACATCTCTGCTGTACGACAACATTTAATTTAAAATGGTATTTTAACAAATATGGCACCTCCTGCAATTTGAAAATTGCAGTAGGCCATATTATTTCACTAAGATTTCGTTTAATTCCTCAGCCCTAATTGCAATGATGATATGACTTGCGATAAATAAACAAATATTATATAGTGTGCATATTAGCTATAACAGGATTAGAATTGAATATTTTAAAATGTAACTAAATATTGTTTTGAGAGCAGCAACTGCAACGTCACTATATAAAGAACATAATATCTCACTGGAAACAAATCTACAATAATCAAATAAATCATTTTTGTGACATCAAAGTACCGAGTGAGGTTTAGAAAGAATGGAAAAACTCAGACGTGAGTCAGTATCACTCCTTCCTCCTATTCTCTGTCCTCCTCCCTCTGTTGCTGACGTGGTTCACTGCAGGTAGTGCTGGTAGAGAGAGGAGTGGCTGGTTTGTCTAAGCCAGCAGCTAAGTTTACAAGAATCTGCCAAATGGCATGTGGCAAACTAAGCTAAACAGTTAGACTACACTACAGACAGCTTTAATTTTAGCTTGTTTTTAACAATCTGGTATTGGAGCTGCTGCACTGTGCTTGTGTAAAACCAAAACACAGCGGCTGCAACGTGATAAAGAAAAACGGCGAAATATATTTAGTGTGGATGTTTATAACGTGATGATGATGAAAATTTGATTTATCGGTCAACACTGTTCTGAGGCATTCAGCAGTGTTTGTACTCTGCAGGATCAAGGCCACTGGCCTACCTGGACGTAAAGTGAACATATACTAAGAACACACCAGAGCATCAAAACAGTCAAGAGTGGTATTTACCAGAAGACCAGCTATATTTAACATTGAACCACCAAAACTGCCTGTCTTTCACAGTCTAGGCTTATGAGTAACACCCATCATGCAACTGTACCTTGGTGATGAGGTGTGGGTAAAGATGACATGCTTGGTACATCACTGCTTCAAAGTCCTCCCGGGATGACAGGGAGATTTGGTCAGGTTCCTCTTCCACAAAATGCAGCAACGACTCCACTTCCTTACGAGTGAAGTTCAGCACTGGGTTCAGGTCATCCACCACACGGTCTATAAACACACACGAACCCAACATTTAAGACTCGTTATAATTCAGATAGATTGACCACATTAGATCTGGTTAAATATGTATTAGTAGTGCTTGTATAAGGGCTTAGTAACAGTTCCATGACACAATATCAAGTCAAGAACTAGAATAATGTGAGTGGATACTAAAAAGTGAGAACTACTATGTCTAAACAAACAAATGGTTAGCATGTACAAATCTCTTACCAGACATGCCCTGTTTGGAGACTTGTCTGTCGTATATCTTCTTCTCCAAGGTGAAATCACAGACAAGGCGGTAAATGTAGCAGGGTTTCTTCTGACCATAGCGGTACACCCTACACACCGCTTGGGCATCGTGGCATGGGTTCCAGGAGGCATCAAACACAACAACGCGGTTGGCCCCGATCATATTAACCCCCAAGCAGCCCGCTCTGAAAGAAAGATACAGAATGAATGATAAGATTTCTGCCAGTTTAGGAAAAACTACTAAAAAAACAAAAAACAAAACAGAGAGCGGAGACACATACCTTGTAGAAAGTAGGAAGACCCATGTTGTGTTGTTCTCTGGGTCATTAAACTGATTGATCAGTCGCTCTCTTTCTGAGGCAGATGTACTCCCATCCAGTCCTGCAGACAGAAGACACCACATCTTAAGCATTGAACACACTTTAACTTGCAGCTAAATGAAGGAGACTGTATTGTGGTAACATTTTTCATTAAATACTTGTTGTTCATGTTTAATTATGAAGATTTCTATTGAATTCTTACAGGAGAAGTACTTTTCCATCATGGCAGAACAGTAACATGACTGGTGGATGTAGGTACAACATATAGAAAAGGAACCATTTAATCTTTGTTAAATTGCAAATAGATTGCTTCTTAACGTGTTTCCAGAGCAGAGTGTAAATTTGCCAAGACAAATGATCATATGGGAGAACTTGAGAAATGAAGAGATACTAAATCAATAAAGACCATCCTTAGAGGTTTCAGAGGTTTGGAAGGAGAGCACAGATTGGATGACTCACTGTAGTAGTTGAGGTTGCGAACCCAGTTTTGGCTCTGGGCGTCAGAGGAGGCGATGCCTGCTGGCATGGGTCTCTTTGATAAGAAGTCCTCAATGACACTCAGGGTGGACAAACTTTGACTAGTGTGTAGATAGCAGAAACAGATATGGGGTGAGCGCGCTTTGGTATGAAATACAATAAAGTTATTATGTTATAAAACAGGTCAAATGACTGCAGGGGTCTGTACATTGGTATACTCAAAGTCAAAGTCAAGTCAAAAAAAAAAAAAGATTAATTGTAACATTAATCTTTTTTTTTTTTTAATGTCACATTACTGCGGTGTGACCACCCTTTGCCTTCAAAACAGCATAGGTACACTTGCACATACTGTAGTTTTTGAAGGAAGTCAGCAGGTAGGTTGGCCCAAACATCTTGGAGAACTACCAACAGTCCTACTGTGGATATTGGCAGCCTCGGCTGCTTTTCTCTCTTCATGTAATTCCAGACAGACTCAATGTTGAGATCAGGGCTCTGCGGGGCCAAACCATCACTTCCAGGACTTCTTGTTCTTCTTTAGGCTGAAGATAGTTCTTAATGACTTTCACTGTATGTTTAGGGTCGTTGTCATGCTGCAGAATAAATTTGGGTCCAGTCAGATGCCTCCCTGATGGAACTGCATAATGGATCTGCCTGTACTACTCATCATTGAGGAGACCGTTAATTCTGACCAAATCCCCAGCTCTGTTTGCAGACATGCAGCTCCAAACCTGCAAGGAACCCCCACCATGCTTCACTGTCGCCTGCAGACACTCATTCTTGTACTGCTCTCCAGCCCTTCGTTCAACAAACTGCCTTCTGCTGCAGTCAAATATTTCAAATTTAGTCCAGAGCATCTGCTGCTATTTTTCCAGCACCCATGTTCCTGTGTTTTTTTGCATAGCTGAGTCACTTGACCTTCTTTCCATGTCAGAGGCTTCCACTAAAGCCACTTCTGACCAGACTTCTCCACACAGTAGATGGGTGTACCTGGGTCCCACTGTTTTATGCAGCTCTGAGCTGATGGCATTGCTGGACATCTACTGATTGCTAAGGTAATGTAATAAAGTAAGGTAAAGTATGTGTCTTTTTTCTGCTGCAGTAAGTTTCATCTGGAAACCCCTGTCTGCCTGGGAGAGATCTTGCTGATGCAGTATACCTTGTGTTCCAGCTTCACCTTGTAAGCTGAGTTTGGCTGTTCCTCACCCAGTTGTATTCCTCCTACACAGCTGGTTCTGTTTCAGTTAATGATTGTGGTTCAACCTACATATTGAATTTATGATCATTATCACCTGTTTGGTGTAGTTGTTTAATCATACACCTGACATTATGCCTACAAAAATCCCTGACTTTGTGCAAGTGTACCTCGAAGAATTGATGCTGTTTTGAGGGTAAAGGGTGGTCACAACAAATATTGATTTGATTAACATTTTTCTTCTGTTCACTCACTTTGCGACTTGATAAATATAATCTATTAACGTGTCTATTTATGAAAAACTTTACAGCATTTTGGCATGCCTGCCTAAAACCTTTTCCTAGTACTGTATATGGCTACAAACAACCACCAATTTTCTTTCACTAAAGGCCATACTTCTGGTTAATTGTGAAATTCCTACTTACAAAAGTAACCTGTAAAAGAAGCAGGGAAACATCATAAAATGTAAGATTAAAATACTAATTTCCAACAGTTTGTAAAAAGCACTGAAAGCTTCAGAAATGTCAGATTAATTAGTTGAAGAGCAAAGTCAGTCTCTGTCTAAGCTGCTTAAGGGTGGATTTGTGTTTAATGCAATGTACATTGGGCAGAGGTCTTACCTGAAGACCAAAATCTTGTCTTTTCTTCTCACACTCTCATCAATCAAATGGAAAAGCAGAACCATCTTGGCAGAGTTCTCCAGAACTCCTGTGTGGTAGTTTGACATTATGTCCTTTGCCTGAGACATATGAATGGGAGAAAAGGCTGCTGAATTAAAAAGGCAGTGTGACCCAGGAAAAGAAAGAAACAACAAACCTCTATACGGACATGACAAAGATAACATGTTGGTATAGCGGATGTATCAACACTGAACAAAGTAGTATTTTTTTTTTTTATATTTAGTAGTATTTCAGTACTTGGAAGGTACTTGACGTTTAAAATAAAGATGTCAAATCGAGTCTTTTAGCTGAAAAACTGAGCTGTCAAGGAAACTACTTTACATGAACTGTTGTCATAACATACCCATTCATATGTGATGACTTGATTGGCTCTATCCTGAGAGGGATTGAGTGGTGGCAGAGTGTTGTTGACTTTGCTGTTGCTCGAGTCGGCTACTTTGGCTTTGAGGCAGCGGGGGTTACTAGCCGAAGTAATGTCGTCCAGGTCCAGGTCCTGCTCGTTGGCCTGATTCTCCTTTTGCAGGGCTTCATAGAGGACGTCTGGGTGATTCCAGATCTGGAGGGATCGGGGGGGGGGGGGGAGAAAAAAAAAAAGTCTTTCTTGATTAAAAAGAAATAAATCCACAGCAGTATTTTAATAGTCACAGCAAAAATGAACCTGATTCCGCTCTGGAAAAGGTAAACAGGTTTGGCTGGCCATTCAGTTAGGTTTCTACCCAACAGCAAAGAAAACAGTCTCACCTTGCAGCATACACAGAAGGCCTTGAGTGGGTTTAGACCGAGCCAGCCACTGTTCCCTGCTTCTCTAAAGCGTTTCATGAACTCGGTATACAGCGCCCTCTGAACGGGAGAGAGCCGCACCAGGATCACATGCTCCTCCTTGGAGGGAAGCTGGTCTCGCAGCACATCGTGACCACGTCTGTAACCCAGAAAAGCATCACAAAGAATATTGATAGGTAAGCATCATCCAGGCTAGTGTGCTCTCTTTCTCGAACGTCCAATTTCTAAAATCCGGCACTGACAGAAAGTTTACCTCTGGACAAAACCCTCCAGCAGGCTGTGCAGCACGTGGCTGCGGTAGCGCATCAAGCGGACATCTTGAGGCGTGCTGTCCACGCACTGTCCGTTCAGAATGGGCCGCTCAAACATGTTGCTGAACTCCTGACGCGTGCCTAAAAAGTCGGGTCTAACAAAGTCCACCATGCACCAGTACTCGATGAGGTTGTTCTGCAACGGGTAACCTGTCAGGACTACTCTGCGCCGGGAGCGGATGTTCTTCAGAGCCTGTGATGTGCTGGCATGGTAGTTCTTAATGCGATGACCCTCGTCACATATCACCACATCTGGGCCAGGCCGCGCGATGGCCCTTTCAATACCTGAAAACACAAAGAGTCTGTAAATATAAATTACACTGTAAATTTATGCTTGTGTTTGTATCCCTGATGCTCATTTTACTTTTTCTGACCTTTCATGAGTTCCTGCTGTCTATCTTCTTCATCCAGGTCAATGATGATTGGCCCCGCGGCCTTCTTCGATTTCCTCTTCTTGCCCATCACAAAACTCTTCTTCATGGACAGCAGGCGGTACATCTCATAACCCATCAGCAACACCCCTCCATCTCTGGACCACTCATCTACAACTTTGGCCCGGGCCAGCGTTGTTCTGCAGGCCACACAGTCAGCGTGATTAACAGCTCATATGTTAGACAATAAATACTTATCCTTGCACACAACATGGCACATTACATACTTGTGCTCGTCATTGAGGATGTGAACTTTGAACTGGCGGCCTGTGAGGAGTGCAGGGTCAGTGTCTGGGGAGAGGGACTCTTGGGGTGGGAGCCAGAGGTTAAACTCCGTCAGCCAGTTCTGAAGTGTGTTCACCTTTTATGAAGGAAACATAATTATTAGAGAGGTAAATTAAATCAGTGTTCTGTGGGAACAATGACTACATCATTTCTTTTAGGACAGTAAACACTTCCATTACTCACAGGAACAATGGCCAGCACAGTGTGAGCCTCAGTATTCTTCAGTAGGATGTCAATGAAGGAGATGACCTGCAGAGTCTTGCCCAACCCCATGCTGTGAGCGAGGATGCAGCCAAAGCCACTGCTGGTCTTATACCGCTCCAGAGACTCGATGAGGTTATCATAGAGAAACCGGATTCCCCCGATCTTACAAAATGAGGAGACCGATATTTGAGAAAAAACAAGCTGGACTGTGGGTTTCTGTTACTGAGAGCTTATGTTTTGAGAGAGAAAGAGACAGAGATGGTCGTCATACCTGGTGAGGTTTGACGGCCCTGGCCAGCTGTGGAGCGAGGTAAATGTCTTTCTCCTCTGCGGGGTGATTTATATTAACCAGCACTCGACCCTGGGCATCAGGCAGATTCAGAGCGTCGTTGATGTGTGCCCCGCTGCTCTCATCTGAGCCGGTGGCACCATCAGCATCCTCGTCGGCCGACTCACTGCTTATCTGCAGGGCGTCCTCGTCCCCAGAACTGAGCTCGATTACATCTGCGTCAGAGGAGAAGCAAACACTGTGTAAGAGCTTGTTTGTTTGTCTGGAATCACTTGCGGGGAAAAAAGCATCATAGTTTCACAGAAGGATCATATCTTACCATCTCTAATGGCATGTTCCGGCAGTGTGGGGTCCACTTTTTCCTCTTCATCTGCACTGCTGTCCAGACAGATCACATCCTGCTTGCTCAGGAGAGCAGGGACCAAGTGAGATACTTCTCCCAAAAGTGAAGCAGTGTCCACTAGTGGAGAGGTGGAAAAGTATTGGGATATTTAGCACAGAAAGTACACAAAAAAAAATTAATCAAAATTAAATAGAACGGGAAAGGTGTAGCTTCACTGATAGAGGGTCAGTCACCTAGCTGTGAGTCTGGGACAGTTGGGGCTGGCGTAGGGAAGTCCTTCCTCTGCTGCTCCAGACGTTTTCGCCTCTCCATCTCCTCCTGTTGAGCAGCCTTAGTCCCAGCCTCCAGCTGATCCTCTTTCAGCAGTTTTCTGCAAGCATAAAGAAAAAGTTCTGTTAGATACAAACATTAAAGTATATTATGTAACATACCTGATGGAAACTATAAAATAGATGAATGCACCTGATATTCTTCCTCATGTGTGCAGGCTTAGATGGCTTTGAAGGTTTGGAGCCTTTTGAAGACTTTGAGGATTTGGTTAATTTGGAGGCTTTTTGTTTCTTTGTTTTGCTAGAGAGTGGCTTGCTCTGGCTCGAGTTTTCCGGGCTCGTTGGAGGCTGGGAGCGGGAGGCAGGTCTGGAGGATGGACGGGACGCAGGCTGAGACGGAGGCTCTGAGGATGGCTCTCCGGAGGTAGCTGAAGCGGAATCCCTGCCATCCTGAGCTGTTTCAGTACTCCCGGGTCGTTCTTGAGAGACAGAATTTCAGTTAACTTCTTCAAAGACTAGTTAACAAGCACCAATTTCTGATGTATATGTACTTTTACATGTTTAATCTAAGTCATGATGAAATCAAAAGACAGCAGGTACAATTATTTAATTTCAACTATATTCATCATTAACTAGACAACACGCATTATCTGTTAACACACTGGGATGCAGTCACTCACCAACACTATCATCTTCGTCGTCTCCATCATTTTCATCCTCATCTTCCTCCATGTCCTCAATGTCCTCCTCTTCCTCATTTTCCAAATACTCCTCTTCACTGTTAAGGCTGGGCTCCAGGTCACTTTCTGAAATCGCCTCTTCAGACATGGCGTCTTACCAGGCTCTCAAAGTATTACCTACACACCTTCATCAGGAGCCCTGAAATATTAAAACACATCTTTACATTAAAGTAGTACAACTAGCAATCTGACAATGAGATTTTACAACCAGCAAATGTTTTAATTTCTTTCTTTTTTTTTTAATTGATGAAATAGTTGCACTGTTAACCAATTATTAAAGTTGACATGGCTTAACTTTCTTTTCACCAACTAATTGATTAAAAGAGTAAATCTATAAATCTTGTTTATTGTTAGATCTTAAACATACATCAGATATGTAATCTGGGGTCAGGCCAGAGAGAGCTTTGGACACCAGGAGCAAATTCTATAGTAAATTCTGTAATGAACAGGTCACTAGTGGAGATGTTAGAGAACTGATGTGATATGACTGAACTATTTGGCTCTTAAGGGCAGCATTTGGAATGAGCTGAAACGGTGTAGACGACCAACAAAAAGTTTCACAGTTGTTTATAAGTGTGCTTCCCTGTTGTGTCTTTTCCCTGACGGTGCCCACACGGTCATCTCTGAAATTGCTATACATAACCTAACTTTATTCTAAATTAAGCCCTATCCCCAACCAGGGGGTAGTGCTATGGGGGTCTAAAAAATAATTCACAACAGACTTCAAAACAAGAACATCAATCTGGTCTACTAATAACAAAGTGTTTCAGAATCTGACTGGGACACAGCATTCTTTAAAATACTGAGGTCAATCAATCGAGGTATTTAATTTAACTTCAAATATGCAAAGACCTGCTGCATCGGAGTCCTTGTTAAACTGTCCAGAACATACAGAAAAGCCAATACTGGTAGTATAGCAAACGTCATAACTAGATGGAAAATCGATTTATACATTTAAAGCATATGGTATGGTGGAGGCAATAGACATAAGGTCTGACAGCAGTATACATTTTGTATGAAAGTGAGTCCCCTCTCTGGTCAATATAGGCTATTATTATGAGGTTCCTACAGTCCTCTGACAGTATGTTTACATTAGAATATGTCACACACTGGATGTCAGACATATGAGTCTATGATAGAGAAACAATGCTGTTGTGATCAGTGCGGAATGAAATGTTTAAAATCGAAAGTGTACGTTTTACATAACATGACCCACAGGGTGGATTTCGAGCCGAGGATGGAGGCAGCTAGCAAGTAGCATGAAGCTACCTCTGCAGTTTATTTGTTATCATGATGCTGTTAGTGTTAGTTAACATTAACATCAAGCACCTGTCGTTAGTTGGCTTATTGGGCTACGTAACTGAATGCATGTGTATGCTATTGTTCCTTAGGCTGAGTCGGCAGACCAGCGTGCTAGCTAATTACACAACAATAAACGCTAATTCAAACGCTAAAACCACGTAATTATTGAATTGTTTCATTGTCCATTATTGAAAGCACAAAACGAAAGTTGTTTGTAACTTGGGCTGAAAGAAAATAAGCTTTCCTTACCGAACCCACTGTTTTGTTGGCTGTCGTAGGGAGATACCAATCTTATATTGTGTAACGTTCACGTAGCTAATGCTAGCCTGGATTACAACCAGGCTAACACTTCGGCTAACTGTTAGGTAACGTTAGGACGCCGCAGTTAAACTCAAACTCCAGGCGGTTGTTGGAGCTTACCTTATCTGCTGCTACAATGTACTCTTCAATAATCTCGCAGAGTGCACAATCAATCAATTGATACGTACAGTAACTGTGTAAATTAACTGGTAAACGTTACTAATTTCCAAATTTTACAGTGTGACTATAAATACCGTCCCTATAGAGGTTACTCTAACTAAGGTTCCGGGGCAAGGAAGCAAATTAAAAAATAAAATAATCGGTCAAACTCTTGATGTTTGCAACAGTTGTTTTGGCTGCTATTCAATATGCCCTAATTTATTTTCTTCCGCAGTATATGGCACCAGCAGGAAGGATGGAGCGGTTTCGGAGAAAAACTGAAATTATGGATAAACGAAAAGTATTACATTTACATAATCGGTTACCTTACCTTTTATATAATCTGTATAAAATTATATCACCCTCGCTATTATTTAGAATGACGTCGGTTTTGTCTTACATATATGTTATTACAATTTGATTTTAAAAAGTACACCTAATAAACAAACACACTAAATACTTTTACATTAATTCGTTGTTGTGCTGTATATAGGTTAGTTCCGACTACCGGAAGTTAAGGTAGGACTATTTTTTTGCGACCACCCGGCGTTTCTTGATGACGTAGTTTGTAGGCGGCTAATTCTGTCTATTGTGTTTATCTTGAGCCCACCACAGTTGTCTCGTGAATGGATAAAGCATTGGCGTTAAAGACTCTTACCCCCGTTTGGACATGGACTGGAACACATCTTAAATATTAGTCAGCTGTGCACAAATGCAAAAATGAACAAAGGGTGGCTGGAGCTCGAGAGTGATCCAGGTGAGAAATGTCGACAGACAACACAGCTAACTAACGTTAGCTACCACTTAAAGCCAGATGGACAGTTTAGCTTCCTGAGCAGCTCGAATTATTACGCTTAGAAATAAACTTTAATGCCAAACAAGATTAAAACACCGTTAAATAGAGTTTTGGTGTGTATTGTGTTGTGCAAGTAGATTTTATGCGAGTAAACAAGGTCGAAATATCAGAGAGACCAACGTTATCCGCAGAAATTATACAGTGGGCTTTCATTTGCGGTGTTTTCTATGTTAGTTAATCAACCCTAAATAAAACGTTTTATCATTTCAGGACTGTTCACTTTGCTGGTGGAAGATTTTGGTGAGTAGCTTATACACAGAAGCTAAACCTCTGTCAGTGTTGCAGTGTGAATAGCAATACATCCAACCCCTGAGTGTGGGGATAATAAAGCCAATTGTTTTTGTGCGTGTCTCTATTCTGTAGGTGTCAAAGGTGTCCAAGTAGAGGAAATATATGACCTCCAAAGCAAATGTCAAAGGTATGTAACTTGTAACCACTCAGGTCAAACCTAGTCTGTGTGGTGAGCAATAATTAAATAAATAACCTGGCAGGTATGCCTGGAAGCGACCTACAAGCTCATGTCTAATTAAAACAACCCTCTTTTTCTTGCGCCTTGTTGGACTATAGCAACAAAATGTGAAAAGTGTCGTTGACATGTGATGTTCTTTCTTAGTCCGGTCTATGGCTTCATCTTCCTGTTCAAGTGGATTGAGGAGCGCCGTTCCAGGAGGAAAGTTAACACTTTGGTGGATGAGACCTCTGTCATCGATGAGGAAATTGTAAATGATATGTTCTTTGCTCATCAGGTAAGTGTTTATGTGATCATAGATGTGGGCAGTTATTGTAGTTTATGCTGTGATGTTAAGTTTTGCATTAGTGAGCAACTGATCTATATTTGAAGTTCTATCCTATAGCAGATTTCTTATGAGCTGTCACATTATAAATATTAGTAATAATGTAAATAGGAAGCTTGTGAGGAAATTTCATTCATTGTGAAAATATAAATTGGGACTAAATAGCTGTTTAACAGCACATTAGATAATTGTTTTAGTTTTGTGACAAAACCATCACAAATGGCACTCATAACTTATCAGGCCTCAAAGTCTTTCAAGACAATTCCTATCTTATTTAGACTTTAAGTCATGTATCGAGTATTGATTTTATAAATTGTAGGAATTTGTGAAAAGGGAAAATTGCGGTACTTCTAACCAGCAAATGTTTTCACAATATATAATGTATATTGTATAAAATCAACATGCATACCATAATATCAATAACAATTCTGCTATTATTAACAGATATAGTAATAGTAACTATTATTAATCAGCTGAAGGTTTCAGCACAGTACTTCAATACAAGAAATGTCTTAATCTCAAGAGACTGCCACAGAAGGAGGGGACCTTGTCAAAGTAGACGTCATAATACATTTAGCTGCTTCCAGCCCTTCAAAATCCTGACCTGCCTATTCACAACCTGCAGTGATGCACAAAGCAACATAATTAATAAAATGCAAATTCTAACCTGGACTTGTGTTGTTGCTGTAATTTTAACATCTAGCTGATACCAAATTCATGTGCCACCCACGCTTTGTTGAGTGTGCTTCTGAACTGCAGCGGCGTTGAGCTCGGCACCACTCTCAGTCGCATGAAGGCTTTCACAAAAGGCTTTAGTCCAGAGGTAAGATGCCTGTCTGTTATTTTGAGTGGAATTTAATAGTGTGCTTTTTTTATTCACAGTTTTCGTTTGAGAATGATATCTTTTCATTATTTATCAACAGTCACCTTCTTGGTCTCACTTAGTCATATGTGCAGTCTCTCTCTAAATCTAACTCTCTTGATTTAATGCCTTTTTCAGAGTAAAGGTTACGCAATAGGAAACGCCCCAGAGCTTGCAAGAGCACATAACAGCCATGCCAGGTATTTAACAGTCAGTGGTTCCGTTTTAAATGTCCAGGTGTCTCTGATTCTGTGGAGAGAGGGGAAAAATCCACTGTGATTGGTCTACCGTACTGTGGGATATGTGATGCTTTGTGCATTCATCAGTTTCTCAAACTCTCTTTCCGTGTTTCTATGGAGACCGGAGCCCAGGCACCTGCCGGAGAAACAGAATGGGATCAGTGCGGTGCGGACCATGGAAGCCTTCCACTTTGTCAGCTATGTGCCCATCAAAGACCGGCTTTTTGAGCTTGATGGACTCAAGGCTTACCCCATTGACCATGGTACGGCTACACACTGACGTAGAGTCTTGCTCTTGTCACACTGATTTGTAGCATTTAGATTGCCATGCTGCCACAGAAAAAGCCTTAGAGGGAATGCATATGTTGAAAATAGGTTTCATTGCATTAATGCATTTAGTGTAGTTCTGTTAAATGCTGCTGTTGTTAAACGTGCACACACACACACGCTACTCAAATAAATAAAGGATAATATTTCGCTCTGTTTTAGGGCCCTGGGGAGAGGAGGAGGAATGGACTGATAAAGCTCGGCGGGTTATCATGGAGAGGATTGGCCTGGCCACTGCTGGGTGAGTCCTGAGCCAGTTGGCTCAAACTGTGGTGGTTCACCTCCTACACACACACACACACACACACACACACACACACACACACACACACACACACACACACACCCTCAAGGCTTCATTCTCATGCTGCTTCTCTGCTCTTTCTCAGTGAGCCGTACCATGACATTCGCTTCAACCTGATGGCAGTGGTGCCTGACCGCAGGATGAAGTATGAGTCCAAACTGGAAATTCTAAAGAGGAATCGGCAGACTGTTCTGGAGGGTCTGCAGAAGGTCAGGAAATGCTGGAAGTTTCCTCACAGGCCCATTACAGTGCCACAGCTCCTTCAGTGACAGAACAGTTGGTCATGTTGTCTGTGGCTGTTGCAGTGCAAAGCCTCAAAATGGAAGTTCGTCAGCTGACACATGGACACATAGTGTGATTAGATGACAGACTTATGTGAGCAAGAGAGATTAGGATATTGAGATCATAGTAAAATGGAACATATTTTAACTTTGAATGGGGGAAAAAAAACCCAGAATAAAAATGGATTCACTGTTACTGTTGTCTTCAGATGATCCGGCTCACTCAGCCCGAGCTTGTCCATGACAAGAAGCAACAGGACTCTTCCACTCCTGATGATGGCACCACTGCATTAAAGAAAGAGGCAAATGTGGTGCCAGTTACATCACAGGGGACAGATCAGGCTTCTTCAGGTACTTTAGTTGCCTTTATTTCTCCAGTCTTTGTTGAAATATATCTTGTAAGTTTTATAGTGGGTTATCATAAACATTTAACTGAAATACTCTCAACTCTTGTTTAAGATTCAGTGGATGAGCCAGGAGCTCAGTCTAAGGATGCACCCAGCCCCTCGGCAAACACAAAGGTCATGGGCAAACCACCAGTCCCCACAGGAGGTGCCCAGCAAGTCACTAGTCCCAACCCCATTGTTCAACGCCTGCCTGCCTTCCTGGACAACCACAACTATGCCAAGTCTCCAATGCAGGTAAGAGGAGAAGTAAAGTGTATAGGTTCTGGTTCAGAAAGGTCTATTGTTGTATCCAGTGTGTGTGTTCAGCACTTTCTTCACCAATTTCCAATAAAGGCAGAGAATCTTCACATTTAAAAAGAAAGAAAAGTTTTTGCATACTGCTTTAATGTTTGTAATGTTGTTGTTGTTTAAAATGATTTCAGCAATTAATCATCAAAATTGTTGCCAGTTAATTTCCTCTTGAATCCCTAATTGACTAAATGTTTCAGCTCTGGTTGTGGTCAGGACTTATAGTATTATTTAAAAATATTTATTAGACATTAGCCTCTGTGGCTTTCACATGTCACATCATTATAATATTTTTCAGCCAACAAACCACATGTACCAACATCAACACCAGAGCATGTAAACAATTCAGTATATCTTTAATTTAAAGGTGTCTTTCTTATATTATTTATCTGGGGCAGTTAAAATCCTGTTTTTTGGATAACACAAATTTTGTTTCCATTTTAAATAGATTTTAAGGGTTTACTGCAAACCAAGTTTGACATAAACAGGCTTTCTTTGCATTAGTTGGCTCAAGAAAAACCTAAAACCCCAATCAGAGATAATGGGTATCACGACAGTGGTGAACATTCTTTGTTAAACCAGGTTTTCATCATCAGGCTCTTGACATTGGCATTTGACATTATTTGTGTCTTCTTCCACACAAAATGGACTGTTCGCGTGCTGCCGATTTCAGCCAGAACAGATTGTTATAATGGAAAGTTATGAAGTCTGAAAAAAGCAACATATTTTTTTTCCTTTTTTCCAGTCGCTGTACTGTTGATTCCTCCTATTTATTTCTAACGTGACAGCTGTACATTCAAGATCTTAAACTTTAAACTTGATACATTTAAACTTGATATTCAAGAAGTGCATTTAGGATATGTGGAAATCACTTTAGTTTTTCCAAATCAAAGTGAAATTAATTTTGTTTTTTGAATATTATCAAACAACATAATGATAATTATTAATATTATAACAGACTTATCAAGTTTCTATTCTGTGCTCTATTAACTGCAATACCAGCCGCGTAAAACAGAGTCAGCTGCAAATCAGTACCAGCAAGCATAAAAACATAAGTATGCATTTTCTGCATCACCAACTGAATGCATGTGGGTTCCTTTGGCAACGCGACACATACAGTTTGTGCTACTACTGTAACTGCAGGAGTTTGTTACTAATAAACGGCTCAACAGGTTTGCACATTTAACGTATTCCCTAATCTAATAACCTGCATCACTCCATAGAGAATATTCTCAGGAATAGAAAGAGTGGCGCTTTTTACGTCCGCTTTAAATTCGAATCTCTGAACACAACTCCTTCAGAGCAGGTTAGGTGTGCAGCACAACATAGCATGGTGATCTAGCACAAGTTGGCCACCTTCGTGACATGGAAGACTCTGGTTTTTGAATCAGCATACCTCGCTAATTAATTAATTTCGCTTCATAGTACATTTGATACCTTTGATCTGTCTAGTTGTGTCAAGAAGCCCTTTTTATGCAGCCCTTTACACCCTTATACCTACCCTCACACATTTGCTAAAACAAAGTCAGGCGTTACATTGAGAGTAATATGGAAACACTAATATTGTACTTTTCTTGCAACCATGAAAGATCATACATTGCCCTCTGAACGTCTCAGATCTGACTTTGCGACAGCTCACTGTGCGTGTTATTTCTCTCTTTCTCTTTGCTTGTCCTCTCTGTCTTTCTTCCTCTCAGTCGCTCTCTCTCTTGCACATTAGATTTATAGATTTATGCCACCTTACACCTTTTTTATAAGGTGGCACTATTCAGAAAATGCAAACCACATACAATACTGTAAAACTGATATGAAGAGGATTTTAGTTTACATGTCTGCTCTGTTCCTGTTTTAAGGCAGCTCAACTTTTATCTCTAGTGACCCAGAAAAACATTCAGTGGAGGGTTTATTAAAGATGTCTGATTTACAGGAAGAGGAGGACCTTGCTGCTGGAGTTGGTCGATCTCGAATGACGGGGCCTCCCCAGACCCAATACTCCGATGATGAAGATGACTATGAGGATGATGAGGAGGAAGTGACTGGTTCTGCAGGCGCATCTAACAGGTATATAAGAGGTGTATATAGGTCTATTTAATAGGTCTAATTTCTTCTTATGTGTGTGGTTATGACCTGACTGAAGGAGGCTAAAGTTCTTTGAATTACTGCTTTTTGTGTTTTGTTATGTTTCACACTTGCTGTCTTTTTAGATATAGACGGAAGGCAAGTCTGCGCACACGAACTGGACGGGTAGGGACTGGAATGGAGAGCCAGATTGCCCTCACCGTATTGGCTGAGAAGCTGAAGAAGGAGGCTCAAAGGAAAGATGCCTTGAACACACCCCTTTCTGTACGCACAGAAGGGCGCACCGGTGGCATTTGTATCACATCTGCTTCCCAGCCTTCCCCCACACCCAGCAACGAAAGCACCGACACCGCCTCCGAGATTGGCAGCGCCTTCAACTCCCCGCTGCGCTCACCCGCGCGCTCCCAGGCCGCCACGCGCCCGTCCAGTCCGGTTGCATCCCATCTGTCTCGTGTGCTGTTTGGAGAGGATGAGCTGCTGAGGCTAGACTCGAGACATAACCGTGCTGTGCGAGAGCTGGGTCCCTCTGTCAGCGTGGCCTTGTTACACCTGAAAGAGGATGGAGTCATCTGCGCTCTCCCTCCATCTGGTGAGTACAAGAGAATTGTAACTGTCGTCCATGTTATTTACAAAGGCAGTTTAAAAGCCTCTGCTGAAGTAAGCATTTGAGTCAGTCACTTGGTATTTAGAGTACAGTCAGAGCATATTAATCATGTTAGACAGTAGAAGTAAACAGTTTGGGGTGACCTTAATGAGAAGAACACGCACTGCTTTTAATAACAAATTGTCTGCGTCTGGCTACTTATGATAGATTGCTTCTTTATCTGTTGCCTGTTCAGTAGATTTGGCCGCTGATGGCACAAAGCAGCCTTGTACCTCTGAGAACGCAAAAGACAAAGAGCAAGCACGCCTCGAAGCAGGAGAGAAGGAAAGAGTGAACGAGGGACCATCTGTGGAGGTGAAAGAAGAGGAGAGCAAAGATGGAGCTGAGGTGAGACCTAGCAAGGAAAAGCCCAGCACTGTGGAAACTGCGGCAGATAGCAAGCCCCCTGGGGAAAAGTACACTCCCAAAGTAAGTCTTAGAATTTCCTAGTGTCATACGCATGTACCTTGCAATGCTTGTCAGCCTGCCAACATTTTTTTACAACACAGTACTCTAGTACTGTACACCGAGCAGTTATCTTATTCTGTTTCTTGCAGGAGCTGCTTGCACTGCTCAAGTGTGTAGAGGCTGACATAGCCAATTATGAGGTGTACCTAAAGGAGGAAGTAGAAAAGAGAAAGAAATACAAAGTAAGTTTTATTTACCTGGAACCAATCCAATATATTGTTGTTTTTTTTTATTGACTTTTAATCAAAATGCTCTCATTTGTTCAGATTGATGATCAGAGGAGGACTCATAATTACGATGAGTTCATCTGTACCTTTATATCAATGCTGGCCCAAGAAGGTAAATCTCATCATCTAAAAGGTCTTTTTTTGCCCTCCTTTACCCTTTCATCAAAACCACATTTGAACCTTAACCTTAACCTTAAGTTCCACTTAAATTCCCGGGCTCTCTGTGGTGGATCATTTGTGTCCATCATTAATGTCACACACAGTTTGGTCATAATTTTTGTACATGTCAAGACAAATAACAAATAATTTATTTCAAACAGAGGTTCTGGCTGTTAACACTTAAAATAGATCCACCAAATCTGAAATAAATACAGAGCCACATTTTTACTCTTAACCACCTTCACACACAAAAACACAAGGTTTGACATTGTCACACGCCCTTCCATATCCCTCCTTTAAAACAAGAAAGAAAAGACTAACCAGGCATATACAGGAACGTAGTTACCTGCTAATCTGTTGTTTTGTTGGTATTTTTCTTTTATAATTTCTTTGCTCCTTAATTAATTCTGACTGCATGTGTCCTTCAGGCATGTTGGCCAGCCTTGTGGAGCAAAACATTTCTGTGCGTCGTCGGCAGGGAGTGAGTATCGGCCGCTTGCACAAACAGAGGAAGCCTGACCGCAGGAAACGCTCTCGACCTTACAAAGCCAAGCGCCAGTAATTACAAACAATCATAACTTCTGTGAGTAACTTACTCCTGTGAGCAGTGAGCAGTCACCGCAGAAAAAAAGAAACTGAAGCACTCCTCAAACTCTCATAAAGGCAGTTTTGTATAATATTTTAGTGAGAGCCTCCTCTTATTCGTGAAATTGACCATAGTTCTTTTATCATTTATGTGTATATATATGTACTACCGTTTTAATCTCAAGGTAAATGTTCCTCTTTCTTGTGCTACTACTATTGACAGTTTGTAAATATGAACAAAGACATGTCCCCAAAAGTGATGCGCCTGAATATATTTTTCATCTCTCAAAGTATTCATTCTTATGGAAAGAACCTCTGTCCAGTTGTGTGGTCAGTACAGTTTAGTGTGCCACTAAATATAGAATTTGGTAACATTTAAGTCAATATTTCCTCAACTGTATCCTTTGCTGATGTTTTTATGGTGCCAATGAAGTGTTGAATGTTTTGACAAACAAGGCCATGTGTTTTATTCATCCATTTCAGTTATCTGTTCACTGTAATTCATTATACAGCATGTTTTAATCACATTCTTTACGGACAATTTTAAACTCAAGAAGTTGTGATCCATCAAGTTTCTTTCTTTCCATTTGCGTGTCTTTAGCTGAAGGTCTCTTGCTGTGTGTGTATGTATCTTGAGGTCCTGCAAATGGAAAAACAAGCTCCTGTGTTACTTTTGTACCTGAAATGGATCTCAAAGTGAGTGAATATTGAGTCGGATGTGTGCCCTTGTGTGTTTTGTACATATGTATCTGTTACTTGGCTCACCTGTTCACTGAGTTCTGTTGCTCTTTGTGCTTGCCAATTTATTCTTCAATAAAGTCAATGAGAATATTTTGCTATAATCCAGATTGCTCTTTTGGTGGGCATTTAAAATAAAGCTCTACAATGGTTGATCCAGGATAACAGTGTTTTAACAATTGCAATGAATAGATTGGTATAGCGTTCCACCTCAGTATGACAACATGTTTACAAATGCTAATCCCAAAAATTCTTTTATCTTAGTAGGTTCATCAGATTAGGTTTATTTTCTTAGATGTATTAGATAACAGTAAGTGTTATATTGTAGTGACAATTGGTGTACACTAGGGAGAGCAATCATTCAGAGACCAGTAGGACCATCTCAGAATAGTAACCTTTTCGATGTTGTGAGGAGAGCCTTTCACAGTGAAGTGGACTTTGGATTTTCTGCAGAAGGAAGTTGTTGCACCATGGCTGTGATGTGCACGTGTATTCAGATGAACATGTAGTATTCCTAGTGTTTTAGTATTAGCGTTTTGCATTGGCCAGAGCAATCCTTATTTTCATCTGCAACATTTTTTGTTATATTTCATTTGTAGTAAAATACTGTCCAGCTGCAGTTTATTACTTTGCTGAATGAAATAACCCACATTAATTTGATGATTAGTTTTTACATTTTTAACTTACCACTAGATATACTATATAGATATAGAGATTGTGATGAGTAAAATAAAAAATCTTAACGTGAATTTCTGATCCATTTTTCCAGGTGTTTGGGTGGTTTGCATTTTCTTTTCTTTTGACACTGTCAGTTTTTACCTTACAAAATGTTTGAGCACAGGTATGATCTTATAATAACGCCACTGGCAGAGTAGTAAAGTACACCCAGTATCCTATGTGGTAGCTAAAAGCAAATACCCCTCACCCACACATCTTTTGTGAAGCAGATGTTTGAGTGAAATGTAACCATACTGTATTGGTATTTCACTACTCTTTGCTTGTTATTTGTATAAGAGGCCCAGACCAAGATCTCCAGTTGGCTTCATCATAACTTATAACGTGAATGGGGAACATAATATGCTATCTATAACCACATTCAGGAGTTCCATGTAGGCATTTTTACTCTGTCTCAGACCATTTGAAAAAACATGTTTCCAATGTTGACTTTGTCGCTTGTCTGGAATTCTTTATTGGTAGTCATCTCATATTTAGATGAATTCGTATGCATAGTCCATCAAACTCCAGTGAGAATAAAATTATTGTCATTATGAATGAATCAATCTTCATTTTTCTCTATTAGTTGATTAATTGCTTGGTATTCACTATGTCAGAAAATAGTGATAAAAAACACCCATAATTCCCATCATTTCCCAAAGCCTTACACCTGGCAGATTCAAACTGCTCATGTTGTCAATTTAACAGTCCAAACCCCAAAAGTATGTAGTTAAATGTCACAAAAGACTAAAGAAAGCAGAAAATATTTACATTTCAGGAGCTGAAACAAGGAATCTTTGGCGAATTATCGATTCAAAAGTGGTTAATTTTCTGTCGTTTGACAAATTAATTAAACGACAAGGAGATCGTTTCAGCTCTAGAGAATGTTGTGATTAAATGATCTGTAGCCTATGCCCAGACAGCCTAACAGTGGACCTCTTGTAGGCAGATAAAAACTTGGCACGAAGATGTGTGATGTCTCCGGACCATCATTCAGCTAAAGAAACTATAGGTTTATGCGGGAGAGACGTGAAGCGAGTCAGGGAGTTCTCTGTGGTCGCCAGTCATGTGCCACAGAGGGATCAGAGGTATATTTGCGTGGTGACTTGAGTCAACCGACCGCTGTGAACGCGCACGTACGAGCCACTCAAGTTCCCACCCATTGCGTCAGCGCGCTCCCTCACCCTCCCCGTCAGCGCGCGTGCTCCGTGTGGGATGCTGAATTGTAGGTGATGATGGCGGAAGGGGAGCAACGCTGAGTTTCATCTGACAGCTGTACAACCATCTCCGACACCGTTTCTCTCCGTCGAGACCTTTCCCGAGGCGATGGGGAACGAAGCCAGCATGGAAGGGGAGGGACAGGCGGGGCAGCCCGGCTCCGCTGTCCCTGCAGCGGCGGCTCCGGCTTCCATTTCAGCACCACCGGACTCTGGACAGCTCATCAAGCCGAGCAATGGAGCGCCAGCCGGAGGAAGTGGGGCTGGACCCGGGCCGGGGATTAACAGGTAGCCGCGATAGCTTAGGGCGCTTCTCCGCCAAACGCGGAGGAAACACGGCAGCGTGGCGTGTACCGTACATCTGTACGGTGTGGAGTGGATATATAGGCTCAACCGCGTAGATAGACTTGAATGGGTGCTTAATTATTTATTTAATATCCATGTCAACACAATTCACCACCCCGTTTGAGAGCAATTTCTGCTTCTTCTTGGCAGCACCACCCCGTTACTCACCCTCAATTTGGGTCGAAGTCAAATTCAGTATGCAACGCTTACGACGTAGAATCAATAATACGCAAAGCTTTCAAACGCTTCAACAGGGATTTCTACGCCCGTTTTAACGGTGTCTGTCCCGAGGCGTCCGTAGCTAAGCATCATGAATGAACGAGCGACATTTTCCCCCTCGTAGTGAGGCAGTGCCAAGTAAATATGAATACTCAGGGGTGGATCTCACAGATATTAATGCCCCCATAGCTTCAGGTGATAAATAAATTAGACTGTATCTCACGTTGAAGGGCCCCGTCGGTTTCATTACAGGTTGATTTCCTGAACATGCTTCGACATGAATGCCCGTAAATACAAAGTCATTCCGAGAAATCACCGTCCTCCCCGTGAGCCTGTATCCTGATGACAGGGTTGTGTAGGATGACAGTGCTACCATCAGACGTAGCCAACGTCGTTGTGAGCACAGGGCCATAACGCAAATGTGCCATAGCTGTCTTCACGTATCAGACCTCAGTCCAAATCAATATGCAGCTAGTGGAAATTGTTTTTCACCACCGTCAACTGCACTGAAAATGGTTCATTTCCTCTGACACTGAGCACAGACACATTAATTCAATATTTCCAGTTACATATGAAAAACAATTTGTTGTCCTATAAACAAGGCGAAATAGGCTGTAATTTTAGCCTTTTCCAACATTCAGCCCTGATCATTAGGGTTTAATCACAGGTGGGTCTGTGTTGTCTGTGTGGGAGGGATTACCCTTCCAAATAAGATCTGATATTGCCTTAATTACATAGTTCAACAGTTGTAGACCTGAATAAGCACAAGCAAAGGGCACAGCTGCATCTTGGATTTGCCTCACCAGCTTACAGTGTCTCTTTGAGAACACGTATAGATTTATTTGTGCTACAAACCTTCGTTTTAAGGAATCTGTCTTTTGTCATTGACCAATTGCTTGGTTTTTATCATCATCACACATGGTGATTGTAATGTTGAGCAGTAAACATGTTCAGCCACTGTAACTAGAAAATCACCCACCTTTAATAATGTTTAGTCCTCTCCATGTTTCTATTTGTGGGGATAAAAAGCACTCACTCTTTGTCCTGTATGTTCAATGTGGTGCAGGTTTAAAAGCCCATAGCTCCCTTGTAACCGCATGATTCTTTTATGTCTTGATTTCTCTCTGGTATCCACCCTGAGGTGTCTCATAAGGCGATGGCGAGTGCTGAGAGACTGAGAGAGAGCGGCGGTGAGAGAGAGACAGTATATCATATGGCTGCTTGTAATGGTTTTCTTAAGATCACGGCCCTACATTCAGTCTGAATCTTTGCCTTAAAATACTCTTCCACTAGGAAGTTGTGAGAGTGTAAGAAACAAAGAGACGGTGGCTGGGTTGAGACTGTAGATAGGAGACTTTCATCTTAATTAAAATGAGTTGCAGCATTTTATGCCTATTAATGTGAATGGGGAACATATTATGCTATATATAACCATATTCAGGATTTCCATATAGGCATTTTTGCTCTGTCACTCACCATATTATATTTTATTAATCACAGTCAAAGAGCTAAATCTGAGCCCATACAGGAATCCATGACTGTATGGGTGTCACACGACCCTTCAGCTTCACGAAGTACCTCAATGGTTGTTTTCTTCTCTAATCATAACAGCTTTGAGTAAGTGTACAGTCATCCGGACCTGATGGCCATAACTGACAAGCATTCAGAAGGAGAAATTAAACTGCCTGGTATTTCCAATGTGTGCAACTAAGGGCTCAATGTGCTGCTGCTATATTCTCATCTCATTGTTTTCTGTTTAGCAGCTGAATGAATGAAGATTCGTTGTATCATGTAACAGCATATGTTGTATTGCACTGAGAGCTACATGATTCAGTCTGGCCAACATATGCCATTGATATGGGGTCTTTTCACAGAATATAAATCAATATAAATCAAATTTCCATTACAAACCCAATCAAAGCAGTTCGTAAAAAAAAACACCATTAAAATAATGGATATAGTCATGTTCTAAGACACAGTGTGCCCTCATAATTAATTTACCTTCAGCAATGAAAGCACCGTTCTCTATGTAGCCTACACATACTAAATGGTTATCACAACTCAAACAAATAATGCAAAAGCAGTTATTATTATTTATGAGACCATGACAGCCGTAGGATACAGAAAATGAACGGCTACCCATGAGACAATGGTAGTGCAGCGTTGGTCAGATATAAGGATATCAGGCATCAAAGCTCATGAAAGCTTATTTAGTCCCCTTTTGTACTTTTTTCTATGCTTGTTATGTGCATTGGCTTCACTGGTAAACAGCAGGATTTTCCCCCCAATAGCATAAAAAGGCTCTAAATTATTCAACAAATGCTTGCATTGAACATTTGTACATTATTCGCACTATAGGTGAGTAAGCTTGCATAACCAGTACAACATGCTTCCTCAGTGCGTTTTTTAATTATTTTTTTTATTATCTCAGACTGTAGACAGTCCATCTCAAATATACTGGGACTAAACCATGGCATGTATTCTGACAGAACAGACAGTGGTTTAATCAGAGTGGGCCTCTTACATGACATTAGAGTCAAAGAGCTAAACATCTCATTTTCTGAATATAATATATACCTGACAATCTTTGAAAAACTCAGAAGGTTGTGTAACAACACTTAAAGACTCTTTTAGACATTTGTCAAAAAAAAAAATTGTGATTGTGTTACCTTATCCTGGATGCCATAAATTACATATGCCCTAGCTCTTTTTGTAAAACATAAGCAAAATATTAAGAAATATCAATATATCAATATAACTAATTATAATTTACAAATGTGTGTGTGTTTTACAAATTAAGCAAGGACCTATGTCATTCTGACTACCTTGTTTTGATTAGGAAAAAGAGGCGCAACATGCAAAACTGATAAGAATATTCTGGGTTTTTCAAAGATCGCCAAGTATTAATTTTTAGCTCTGTGATTTTAACGTATTGGTAATACATGAGAGGCACAAACTGCGGATATGGTGCACCCTGTCACACAATATAGCTGTAACACACACTAGCCTTTTCTTATGTGACTCACTGTGGGTGGGAGATTTAAAATTTCAGCACTACAGCTCCAACATGATGGGGAATATATTTTTTCTACAGTGAGCTCTCCTTCATCCATGTCTCGGCTGCTCATCAATTACTTTTTGAGGGTTTGCCAAGCTTGTCTGACACTAAATGATGAAATGTCTGCAAATAGGGAAAATAAGAAGTGCTGTGGCCTATAACACTGGTATCCACCAATAATTAGTTTAATGAATATTGTAACAGTCTTAACTTGGGTCTATTTGTCGCAGCCTCTGTCACAGTTTTGGCTAATTGAATTTTGGGTCTGATCCCTTATCATTTTATATGAATGAATGCAGCGCAAAGTAGCTGTTTGCTGCTGAGATTTCTGATAGATAACAACATCAACCAAAAACTACTTGAAATAATGCCTTTGTCATCATTTTTACAATAATCACTTAAATGTATGTCAACTCCCATTTGTTCCACTTTAACCTTGATAATAAGATATTCTAAAAAGCACTTCAACACAGCAAACCACTTGTTTAACAGTAAAGATGCCCAGCAGCCACAGCATAACGGAAATTAAATGCTGTATAATTATAAAGTTGAAAGTATTTCCCTTTGGGGACAAAATAATTACCTTTTTCAATTTTCTACTATAAAGTTAGTGGTCACTGACATTCCTGAAACTTGGTGAAACAGTAGTGCTAGACCTATGTCAATAAGCAGAAATTTCACAGTTGATTTATGCTGCACTTGATGCCTTTACAAACAACTGATTGAACATTTGAACATGTTCAAGTCCGATGCATCCACAACCTTTCTGGTTTGATCTTTAAATATTCCCAAATGGACAGCATGAGATAGGTTTCACTATGAAGCTTGAGCTTCCCAGTTTCATTTCCAATCGACAGACGAATAAATCAATGAGAAACATGTAGAATCTCCATCATACAGATACTGATACAGATCTGCTCTGTCGGGCTGAAATTAAGTATCCGTCTTATCAGATCATTTATTTTTGTTCCAAGGGACATATTAAGTCAGATGTCAATGTGAGGCAACTTGGTATTGAAGGATAATAGATGTGTACATATTTTATTTGTAAAGTGCCCATATGTTAATTGTTTACTGGCAATTATTTTTATTGTTCAGAAAACCCTTTCAAAGTAATGTAATGGGCCGGCACACTGTCAGCCAATACTTTGATTTATGTTCTCAGAATTGGTATTGCCAGTTACAATGTGGTATTGGTGCAACACTGCTGGAGGAAACTAGAGAAATGGGCACTCTTGGCTGCTGAGATGTTATTGAACTTTGATGCTTTCCTTATTCTGTATTCAAACGGACATCAAAAATTACATTTTGGTCAGACTTGTTGTGTCAGGAGCTCTGTTGCTTGGACACATTAGTGGCCCTTAACATACTGCGTGTTATGCAAAAAAACTTTATTAAAGCTGGTATTCATGTAGTTTTTAAAATGACCAAATTGTTATAATTATATCCATCTGTGTGATAGAGTATCTTGCACATTTGCTCTGGTTGGAGGCACGCTCCATACTCTGCCATTAAGAAATGTTGATTGGCATGTCTGGTCCGATTTATCCTGTCTGACAGTGCTAATAAAGTCTGTTCAAAACATGATGTCCACTGTGTGCTTGTTAGCACACAACTGGATTATATACACTATCTTTTAAAGGAATAGTTGGACTCATTCGCTTTCTTGCCTTGAGTTAGATTAAGGGAGAACAATATCACTCTCTTGTCTGTACCAGCAGCCAGTTAGCTTAGATTAACATAAAGACTGACAAGGGAGGGAAACTGCTTTCCTGGCTCTGTCCAGAGGTAACAAAATCAACCAACCACCACCTCTAAGACCACCGTGTGTAAAAAATTACAAGTTATGGTTTTACAGTGTGTTATATTTTGTACCTTTCTGAAGTCTTGTCGTTAGCACGTGTTTGGCAGGCAACCACCGAAGACTTAAGAGATGCTGATAGGTGAATTTTGTTAGCTTCGGACAGAGACAGGCTAGCTGTTCCCCCTGTTCCCAGTCTTTGTGCTAAGCTAAGCTAACCAGCTGCTAGCTGCAGCTTCATGTTTACTAGATCTATCAGATTGGCCCGATCTTCTAATCTAACTCTAAGGAAGTACAGAATAAATGTATTTCCCAAAATGTTGAACTATTCCTTTAAGTGACCCTGGGATACTGTCACATGTATAATTGAGGCTATGTAAAAAAGCAAACTCTCCTTATGATAGGAAGTTTCACAGGGAGCTCCCGTTACAAACGATTGACAGCTCACAAACTCTTCACCATCCACTTTGTGATGAAGCTAGCAATTTGTAGTGCTTTAGACACAAAGCCACAAGTTGTTCTCGGTGGACTGCCACTTGCTGATGGAGGAGAATATCTAAAGAAATCTTTTGAAAAGGTGTCTTGCAGTTTTAACTTCCTTTTTCTCATTAAGCCATGCCTGAGGCTTTGCATAAGAGACTCAAACTGTGACACCAGGTAGATTTAGACCTCAGTTGTCCAATGTGTCTGTAGCTTTAGCAATATCCTCAAAGTTCCAGTTTAGGCTCAAACTGTGTGATTGAGACTGGTGGTCAGCACACTGTCAGGACTGTGTTGAATTTCAGATGTAACAGTCTAGTAATGGTTTGAACAGTGCAGGTTTTTCCTGATGGACTTGCTACGGTGAACACTGGACTTCTGTGGAGAGTGGAACAAGGTTAGAGTTGTGCAGCTGCTCAAGTCATCAGCTGTGAATTGCTAACATGTTCTATTTAAATTCCTTTATTCCTCCCTTTATCTCCACTTTTCGCTCACTGTGGATGCACAGCTGTTGCTGAGACTGTCTTTGAAGATGACGTGCATGACAAAAAAAAGGTCTAAGTTGTTGTGACACTGGAAATCCACCATTCCTTTTAAACTATTGACGCTAATGCCCAAGGGCCCGCATGAGCAAGAAAACCAAAAGTTTACAGTACTGTTGTCTGAAACACTACCTTTGTTCCAGCCTAAACAGAACAGCTTCAAAGGCTGAAAATAAGCCACAAGCAGCACTTCACAGAAACTGATAGAGGCAATATAAAATATTCAACATATGCCTCTCTGTTGGCCAACGTTTTGAGTAGTCTGATATCACACTATGAACAACAGTAAAATCTTTTAATGGCATGTGGACCTAGTGCATTTCACAGCTGAAAATTTACCACTCAAGAGGAAGCACTGCTCCTTTTGAAATTAAGTAGAGATTACTGGTATGAGCCCTGCGATGGATTGGCGACCTGTCCTGAGTACCCTGCCTTTCGCCCGATGTCAGCTGGGATTGGCTCCAGCACCCTGCGACACTGTACGCAGGATAAGCGGTTGACGGATGGATGGATGGATGGATGGATGGATTACTGGTATGAAAACATTCTTGAGAAAAAATTAAATGCAGCTCATTTAAAATAAAAAAAGTACATATTGTGTTTGCAGTGCAGTGCTAACATATTGCGAGGTCTACAAACTAGGTGGATTTAATATCAAAAACAAAACAAACTCATTGATGTTCCCATGCTTATGTTCCCTTGATCACTAACTCCATCGTTCCCTTACTCATTTTTACTCACTATTCTTCTCTCATCAAATACCCCAAAACGTTGCTGTGGTTACATTTTACAGTGAGTGTTAGGGCTGATGTAAATGCAGCTGGACAAAGGAAAAATTAAACTGAAAAAATCTCTCGAAGTAGTGGGTGAATGTGCATGTAAAAGCAAATCAATCATTAGGTTGAGTAATGCGATATTTTATCTCCAGCCCTGAGCATGTTGAGTTTCTGATAAAAAAAGTCTGACTTATAGATGGAATTGAATCAATGTGTAAATAATGGAAAGTTTGTTATGAAGTCAGTGAAATGTGTGTGTGTGTGTGTATGTGATTAAGGGGCTGCCATGGGCTGCAGTGAATTTCCACTATGAGCTTATATAAGAATAAGAAAGAGTGAGTGTTATTCAAAAATTGTATAGTCACATACATAAACAATACGTGTAGTGGAATGTAGCGTGGCATGCTGAATAAGTCTGTGTCAAAAAGTGTGAACCAGTGTGAAGAATATTAATATAAATAACAAATTATAAATATATCACAATAAGTAAGGTGTACAAAGTCACAAGAAAAAAAAACCAATAAATATATATACAATTTACATTTACAGTATACTATGTTATAAAAGTTTGTACACGCTTGAGTGCAAAGGAGGTAAACAAAAATCTAAAACTGCAGCCGTTTAAAGGGATTCTCCTTTTTATTCAATATATTATTTTTACATTGACCTTGAAAATACTAATTTGCCAAATAATCCTTAACTCAAGGTCCATTTAAGCATCAGGTACAGAAAGTAAGTGGACCTTGAGTTAAGACTATTTAAAAATAAATACATTTAACATATTTTAATAGAATATATAATATAAAATAGTGATTTAGCTGGCCTTCAGTTTATAGATGATCTTAAGTTAAACTCCTAAATCAGGACCCTCATCAAATATCCACTTTTGTGTTCTGCCAGACCACCTCCGTCAGACCCGGGCCCTAAAGCAGGAGTCCAGAGTGGACATGGGACAGGCGACAGGTTGGCCTCTCATGAAACCCGTCAACATGCTGCCCCTCAAGGAGAGCAGGGCCAGGGTCATGTGGCCAGGAAGAGTCTGCAGGTGGATGTGGGTAGCAGCAGGACTGGGAGATCCCCGTCTGTGTCGCCGGACCGAGGCAGTGTCCCTACCTCCCCTTACTCTGTGCCACAAATTGCACCCATGCCCAGCAGCAAACTGTGCCCCGTCTGCAAAACCACCGACCTGATGGGCACTGGGGATGACAAGCTGAACTTCAACACCTGCACACAATGCTGCTCCATGGTGTGCAACCAGTGTGGCTTCAACCCCAACCCCCACCTCACAGAGGTGAGTTCTGATCATCATAAATTCACATGGATAATCTTGTACTTTTTTTCATCGCAGGGAAGCTTTTCTACACCCCACCCCCTATCTATTGTACAACAAGCAACCTGATTCAGAAACATAGTATAGGTGGTATACATTTGAATGCACCACTGTCACCCTGCACTGAGTTACAAACACAATCAGCATGCCATGGTGCATTCACATGGAACACAAAAACATCTAAAACACTACTAAAATGGTTTTAAAATAGCTTTTGTGCAATCAGCTGCACAAACAGATTCAAAATGAAGTCAGGCATATGAAATTATAGCATGTCTGAAGGCTAAAGAGCAGAGAAGGAAAGGGGTTGACTTACCAAGCACATGGTTTTCTGAATGACACGTAATAAAATCTGATACAAACCGGTCCACAACAAGGATATCTTTCTTAAGTCCTTGAGCTTGTCTTTGTAATTGTGATCAGGCTCATAAATCCTGCTTTAAAATAGGATCAGACTTTGTTTAGTGGAACACCATTTTTCCAATATGGAGCTACATATGTAAATGACTCATACATAAGGGTTGAATGCCCGGTACATCCTACAGATCCCCTTTAGTTTTTCAAGATAACCGTTACTGCTCTTTTAGCATCCATAGCTGGTGGTGGTTTGGGAAGTGGTATCATACCTTATATATGTGTCTTTATAAAGTATATGAACAGGGATGTAAAGTCTCTTACAGCGAGTGCACAATTGACATGTGGGTGATTCAGGTGCTACATTCTGGATTAATTCTGTGGTAATTATCTCTCATTGACATTTGTGAGTCATGTCGCTGATGACTATTGTTATCATGTTGACTGTTACTGGCTCACAGGCTGGATCGCACCAACTGAAACTGAGTGTGGATGTGAATTAGTTGCATACTGGTTGAGAGCTGTGAACTGCCTAATTCTAGCCATTGTGAGCCTTGGTTGAAGTGTTCAATGATAGGGTGGGCTCGTGATCTTTCATCCCCATGGACCTGGTTATCACACTTTGCTCAAGTGCCCAGTAACATATTGGACACTTCCTGTTAGCTGTAGTAAATCCCAGGCCCTTATCTTGCGCAAGTAAATGTAAATAACACTTGAACAAAGCTATATCCATTCTTTCTGACAGGCACTAGTGAGCATCCAAATCATGCCCAGAGCCTCTCTCAAACAAAGCCTTTTATAACACCACTGAACGCAGCACAACACATCTCCCCATCATTCACAATCATTCATATGCATCTAAACAGTCATCATTGTTAACAGGTAGCTGAGAAAGCCTATTGCCTTCATCCTAAAATAAATCACTCGCCTAATTTAAATTAGGCTATGCTTCACTGTTATTGTGAGTCAAGTGTAGCTGTGTCATCTGTCACAAAGTTTCACATCAACTCCAGTGAATCATGTTGCAAATTGCAGCCAAGATGCAATGTCAGTTAAGCTGGCCTACAGGCGATCAGAACAACTGTAGGCTGAATAAATACTAGGATTTAGGGAGTAAATGTTTCATTTTTGAACTGTAGATGTGTGCGTGTGAATGTATTGCTTGCATGACTGCATATCTGCGTGTGTGAGAAGGGAGCTTCTGCACGAGTTGGAAAGAGGAAGCCGTGGGAGATGGGAGGACTAGAAAGAAATGCATGGACCAAAGTGTAGACAGACAGTAAAGAATAGATCGTGGCGGGGAGTGAAGGAGAGCATGGCAGTAAAGAGAACTGCAGAGGTGGATGTTATGGGTATTTTTCAGCTCAGCCTTGGTGAGCTTGTCAGATGCTGACAGGGAGAGAGAGAGAGAGAGAGAGAGAGAGAGAGAGGAAGGGAGGGAAAACGCTCAGCCTCTGGAGACCTGAAGATTTACCCCCCTAACCTACTTAGCATAGATTGGGCTTTTGCCTGGCTGCAGCAGATCTAACACAGCCTTATCACTCATCAGCAAAATTGATGATGACCACGCTGTTGCCGATCAAGGTGACGATAATGTCGAAGATGGTGACGACTGGAATTACGATTACAGTGATGGCGAGGACAGACCCCGGAGAAGGCTAGCCAGGGAAGTTGAAGTGAAAAGTTCCTCCTAAGGAGTTATTGTTGTACTTGTGATAAAGTGGAGACAGGCTTTCAGGATTTTCAAGGATTATAATACTTATTTTTGTTTGTGCTTCTTGTGTTTTGACAGAAAAATCACCTGTGGAATTTTCTATTAAAAACAGTATCTCATTTATTGCAGTTCCAGGATTGTCTCTTGATGACAACAAAAGCTCAGTGCGGGTTCACGCCCTGTTTTGGAAGAGATGCGTTTCTGTTTACAAATAGTTTACACTGATTGAACTGTCCCAGATTATAGGGATAATAAATCTGTTATTGAAGAGGATTTCCCCTCAAATTACAGAAAGATGGCAGTGCTGATTAAAGTGTTGATAACCGCGGGCGATTCCACATTTGGATATTTGAGATTATGCTTATTCACCACAAAGTCCCAAATGGTATCTCCAGCCTGGAATCAAAAGTATAAATTAGAGCAGGTTTTTTTTAACACATTTAGCAAGAAGCTGCCTTATCAGTAAAATTTCTCCCTGTTCATGCAGGACTGTATGAGGAATGATAGCAGTTGTTGAAGTCGCAGTTGTTGAAGTCGGAGCAGTGTAAAACAACCTGGTGATGAGAATGCAATTTAGAGATATATAAACAGCAAGTGACAAATGGAGCTTATATGCCACAGTCTGTTACAGGGCTGTCAGTCAAGCTGAGACGTAATGTTGGCTGAGAACGTGAGAATAATCATACACGAGAGCTTGTATATACGTGTGTGCATGAGATCATGTTATGGCGTAGTTAAAGAGCAAGATAAAAAAACATATTGCTTGGTGAAAAAAATAGCAGTGAAGACGGTGTTTGATTAAAGACATCGTGATGAAAAAGGGAAGGTGAAAGCCAGACAGAGTCAGAGAAACGAGACAGTCAAAGAAAAACTCGGAGACAGAGAGTAAAACAACAGAGAATAAGAGCTCAGAGAGATAGTGAAAGTACCACAGACACCCCCCACCCCAACAGTGTTCTCCCACCATCATACAGGGGAACATCTGCTTCATAATTGGTCCAATTTCTATTTATAGATCCTACCCTCCTTCTGTCTGCAACGATGGCCTGGTCCTGAGAAGCCACAGCAGAAAGAGAGAGGGAGAGGGAGCTGTGTGGTATCAGGGGAAGACAGAGCGAGAGAGAAAAGCATCATCATAAATTAACCATAATAGTCAGTGTTCATACTAACGCTATGCAACACTACATTGATTCAGCTCCAAGTGCCGTAATACAAAACTACTAAATATAGAAATCCATCAAAAAAATAATTCTGGGGCACTTTTACAGTTTGGTGTGCTCCTCCATGATGAAGGCGTCAGCATTGCCAAAACACTCTGGAGATGGATCTGAATCATTCTTTAAACAACTCAAGAAACGATGACTTTTTAATGCTTTTGTTTGAAGAGTGCCTTGGAACGACTTCTTTCTTTTTGAACCAACAATCCCACAAGCTGAGGAACAGTTTTAACAAATGCTCCCACACAAAAGACTCTGCAGAGGAACTCTATATATCTCTTCCTCCCCGATCAAAATATATCAGGTAGGTGGCCACAGTCGGCAGTTGCACTAGATATATTTAGCAACCAATCCAAAAAATGTGGCATCTATTTTGTCTCTAAAATACAATGTTTTACATTTAAAAAACGATCCAACTAAGATAACACAAGTTCATGTTTCATAAGTATTAGTATCACTTTTATCCAGAAACGCAATAATATGTTGTAATTAAAGTTGCACTAACCATTTTATATTAACAATGGATTACATGACTACATGTACATGAAAGGGGTTATTCGTAGTGACAAATCCACAGACAATTACTATATCACCCAATTCTGCAGTTCCACTCAGCTTTACAGAGCGTTTTAGCTCATTGTTTTGGTTTAATGACCCGCAGCTTTAATGTTTTGGCTCAGTCCTCCCCATTTTTAGTTGCAGCAGGCTGCTGTTTTCAGTCAAAAAAAAACCTCAGATAAACCCACACTACTCTTCCTGTGCAGCAAAAAAAAGCTAGACAGACTAGCTGATGAACACGGTGGAGCATTTAGCAGCTAAAGAGCCAGAAATATCTCTCAAGAGTTGCTGGAGACCAAAATAAAGAAGAAAAATACATTTAGCTGAGACTTTTTTCCAAAGCGACTTACTATTGCTATATATGTCAGAGATCACACACCTCTGGAGCAACTAGGGGTGTCTTGCTCAGTGACACATTGGTGTCTCACAGTGGATTTGAACGCAGGTCTCTCACACCAAAGGCATGTGTCTTATCCACCACCACATCACCACATCACCACCTCACCACCATCACCCTATCACCACCATCACCACCATCCTGCAAAGCTCAAAGCAGAGTGAATACTGAACTTGTAGTTTTTTTAAAACGCAGTTATTGCTGCTTTAAGCTTGTCCTTTATGGGTAAATTTAGAACTCTTGAGTGTAGTCCATAAATAGTTTTCCATCAGCACTCTTTTTGTAAAAGAGGGTTTTTAGCTGTGACTTGCAGATAGTATGAGTCACTCTGTTGTTCCGTCAGTTGAATGTTTCAGCCCCTTGCCAACATAAAAAAATCCCTCCACATGTACAGCTTTGGGATGCAGACTTATAGTATGACACCTCTATGTTTCTCAGTTAGAGACAGGAACATTTCAGCTGACTTGGACATTAACGTTCTAATCCAAAGGCCCAAAATTTAATTTCTCAAGCTGCTGCAGTAACACCAACCTGGGAGAAGATGGTGTCATAAACATTCTGAAGGCAACTTTGTCTCAGGTTGATGTCTCATTGTCTTAGTTTGAACTTTGACTTGTGATTACTTCTGAACTCTTCAAGAGTTTACTGTTTGCCTCAAACTGAGAGCTCATTGAGTTGTTGTATAGCATACATATGTTTATATAAGTGACCATATTTAGAT